TTTAAGCATTGTCATTCAGTCCATTAAGTCATTCACAGTATTTCCATCCAGTAAGACTCACTAGTATAGTCCAAGTTAAGAGTCCTTGCAATATCTTTATCAGCCGATAAAGATATCTTCTCCTCCTCCGGTTTCACTCTCCAGAGAAACAAACGCTGGATATTCAGTAGAATTACGCAGTAAATCAGCAAACAGTAGCATACAATAACAGTTCAGTCACAGGCACTCACAGTCAGTAATCACAGTTAGTCACAGCAAGACACATAGTTACAGACAGCAGACAGTAAGCTTTCCAGCTTCTAATGCTTCCTTATATTGTAACTTCTAACCGCACCCTTAATCGGCTAATTGCCTGCTGCATTGTGCTTAAAGTGATAAGCACTTAAACCATGATATCTAAGTTTTATATATTTATTCACCCAAACCATATTTGGTATCAATGTTATACCTAACAAAGAGGACACAGTCTTTCAACCTCTAACACATTTCCTGGAAAAATACACCCCCCAAAGCTAAATAGGTTTTTTAGCATTATTTTTATTGGAACTATTTAAAATAGTCCTTCTGCTGGTCAAAACGGGCCACCTGTTTTTGGCCAGCAGAGTGTTGCTGAAGGCTGGGGAGGCCGAAAACGGGCCACATGGGGGTCTCACGGGGCCTCTGTGCAGCCCATTTTTGGCCAGCAGAGTACTGCTGGAGGCCAGGAAGGCCAAAAATGAGGCATGGAAGGGGCCCCATGTGCCCCCTCACGTCCCATTTTGGTTGGCAAATTGCTGCAGGAGGCGTCTGTTCCATCTCCCCTACCTCACTCCCCACCCCCATCCCCGGCCTGCAATCAATGCTGATTCGGCCCTCAAAGAAATCCAGTTTGACAGACCTGGTCTATAGTTTGGGGTGCTGATAGTACCTTGCTTTTTCATTTTCTATGGTGAACATTCTCAGCTTGATTTCTTTCCAAACAAAACAACTTCTCTTTGCCCAGAAAGAAAAACTGGATCTTCGTGAATTTGATAGCAAGGTAACTAACTGTCCAGGCTAAATCACATTAGCAGCTCTGCCAAAAGGCCTGGAATCCATGAGTCGTTCAGAAGGAAACATTTAAAGAAGTACTGTGGGCGGATTACACTGAAACCTTACAAGGCTCTAAAAATGATCAGGCTCTTTATTAATATAGTTTGTATCTAGATATCAAACAGATAAAGACTATTGTGATGAGAGTGAAAAAAAAGAGAGAGAAAGAGAAATGGTGCATTTGCATTTTGAGGTACATACAGCTCATAAACTATTGTATAAGCTATGGCTTGGCATTCCTTTTGAACACATAAAAGTTAGGGTTTGTACGGAAGAATGCTCTACTCTCAAAGGCTATGGATTAATCCTTCAAGATTTTCAAGGATGGAATAACAAGAAATTGAACAAAATAAAGTTTACCTGGTGAGTTTGGGGAAGGGGAGGGAAATGTGATCTGAAGTTTAAAATACAAAAATATCTTGGCATTATGTTCAAATCTATCATTTTTTTTTTCAATTTATGAATCAGTACATTAGGAGTAAATATTGAACAGGTCCCAGTAATGTCAGTAAAATATCTGCAATGTTAGCTGGGCTGTGTGCACAGTGTAGAAGTTTGTAGCTTTGATTTTATGTACAAATTTAAAGAAATGTGATTACTAATGATTTGCTAATTTCCTTTGTTTCATTCTGTAACTTAGATTCTGAATTTAATTTCTATTCTGTTACCCCCCGAACCAGAGGAAGAAAGCTTTTTAGGAACTCATATTCACCTAATATGTTGGCTCCTATATACAGACCATCCTTTCGTTGTGAAATTATTGAAATTATTTTCCATAAAAATAGCATTACATTATTAACTAGATATAATCTTCAAGGGTGATATTGTAGAATTAAATACTATCTATGTAATGTTCACCCAGGCTGTTTTGTCAGTTTGCTGCTTTCCATGCCCCACTATGTTAAAGGCTCATGGCACAAGATTATACGTGCAACATTATAAAAGAAAACACATTTTTATATTTTATATTTTCCTGAAAAACTAGGAAGGAAAGACTCTTTTCTAAAAAAATACAAAATTGAGACTTTCTGAATTTTAACATCATTTATGAACTGTCCTTAAAAATATTATAAGCACCTCCTGCTTCCTTATGTACACAAACTGAAAAGCACCAGTCCAACCTCAAAGGTGGAACACACCTGATAAATAGCTTCATCGCAGGCATTCTGCAGACCCAGGTTCACCATTGTGTTCTGAAGCGTTCGGCCCATGTAGAATTCCAGAGACAGGTAATAAATACGCTAGGAAAGCAGAGAAAAGAGACAGAGTTTATATAGTCTAATATGTTTTGCACCCTGAGCCATGCAGTATGCGACAAGTCCATTTATATTATATATACCATCTGTGATATCTGCATCTCTCCTATTTCATCCTCACATCCACTTTTGAGGTCAGTGGGATTGAAAGACAATGGCTAGTCTAGACTTATCTATGCTTCAGTGGGGATATATCAACTATCTGATGTGATGATGATTATTTAAATGTCAAAAACATTAATCACCAGCAAAGGTCATGCTGATAACCCTCAGCGCTGAAATCTAAAAGCCTATTTAAATCAATGGGAAAATTCTTAGATGCTCTTGGAAAGTGTTGAAATTTTTCTAAGTTTCCCAGAAAGAAATTAGGACGTTTTAAGGCAGTGTTTCTCAATCCGAGCAACTTTTAAGATGAGGGGATTTCAACTCAGAATTCTGGGAGCTGAAATCCATACATTTTTAAAGTGGCCAAGGTTAAGAAAGATAAAGAAAAGGTAGGAAAGAAGGATTTTTGCTTCTCATAAGAGTGGATAGGAAAAGACTGGTACTTTAAAAAAAAAAACTACAAACAGTGCAAAGCTTACAGTAGATGAATGATGACTGGAAGCTATGGGTATTTGCATACCAAAAGTTGAATGAAAAAAGCTAATTATATATGACAGTGACTAAATATCATTGCAGCATTCAGGACCATCACAAACAAGTGGCCATCCCATACCACTTACTGCTTCTGCAATTATGAGGTGAGCACTTACTGTTCACATTCTCAATCTAAAACAAGTCAGTTCTACAGTTTGTTATGTTCCTACAAAGCCAACTGCATTTTGGAAAACACCTCCATCACATCGCCTGGTACACAGAAACAGCTCCATGATGTTCCAACCTCTGACTGAGTCTTTTACATTGTACGTCTGTGTGCATGTGTGTGTGTATTAAATGGCTAGCAAAAGCTCTAGGCTCAAGTAATTTTATTTGCATGTCTAAAAGGCATCATTTCACATTAAGAGATGGAATGACAAATAGGAACACTAAGTTCTTGATGATCCAGCTCCTCTGCCTTTAATAGTAGCTTGAGCTTAGTGAACCATTTCATTAATTTTTCATGCTAAGTGCCTGTTAGGCTGTTGTATAAGAGCAGGTCCAGTTTTTGGTTTTTAAAAAGTTGTTCATCTTAATTGCAGAATTTCTTAAGCAAGTTCTTTTTTGCACAATGCACATTTGGTAAGTTCTGTCCAAATGATGGCTGTATGAATTGTTTTCTTCCAAAAACTGGCATAGTCGTGATAATTGGCATTCGGGTTTCAGGTCTGACTAAAAAAAAAAGTGTCGTATCCCTGTAATATAAATAGAATAGAATTCTTTATTGGCCAAGTGTGATTGGATACTCTGATACTCTTCAGATCACATAAATCTATGAGGCGGTGAATCTAACCAGAGCCCAAAATCTTCATGTATAGAAAGGGTGACATTTTAAATGCTGAAGCTCCAAATATTCCTGCTTGAATATTTGTGATCAAAACTGGGGCAGGCCCAATGTTTAATTCCTCTTCCAAGCCTAAGGGCACTCCTCTGAAAAAAGCCTCATGCAAACCCAAATAAGTCAATTAATCCATTGCAGATCAGAGTAGTGAGTGCATCCTCTTGCATTTTTCAATCACCCAACATTTGGATGAGACTACTAAGTTCCCAAGATCATCTAGAAAGCTCCACTGCTGAGCAAGGGTTTTATAAGAACAAATGGGATATAAATCTCATCTATCTCTTCACAGTGATAATTTCAAAATTGTTCCTAAGTACTAGGAAGTAGATTTATACAAACTTCAATCAGCTATCCTGGGTCCTCATAATCTTGGATTGTACATACACAAAACACACACAAATATAAAAATGAATGACTAGGTAAATGTATTATAGATTGAAATCTATAGAGAGGCTAAACAAATGGCATCTTTTTCAGTGGGGGGGATTCAAGTAGCAGTGTGAGTTTATCAGGTGAAATATTCAGGTCCTTTGGTAGAGAGGTGTACACAGTGGAAATTTATATGTTTTGTCTCTTAGAGGTTTAGCACACCCATTTTCAACTGTTCCCCCCCTCCTTAAAACATGAAAAATGTACAACTGACTTTTGGTAGCCTGATCTCAAGGTGCAAAATGAAAATGTGGAAATCACATGAAGTCTGATGCTTGTTCACTTCTGAAGTAGGAGGTCTTGAGATTGATAACCAGTGTTTTTAGTTAGAGAACAGATGGAGAATATGTCAAATCCAGGTGTTACTGGACTAAAACTCCAATTTCCCCTGTTGTTCACTGAAGAGATAAAAGTTATGGCTTGTTCAGCTAGAAATGGCAGATTCCCTATTATTTAGCTAAAGGAACTTATGTAGCAGAACTGAAAAGGAAATCTATTCCAAGATTTTAGAGAGCTATTTTTACACAAGATCCACTTGGCTAGGAAATGACTATTACTCTGATTCAATACACATCAGCTCTTTGCTAGTTTTGGTTATACAAATGATAGTAACATATATGGCTTTAGGATATTGCTGGAAAGTTTTCAGAACTCCTATATTTTTATATATTGGTTGAATTAATCTGGGAAATTGTCATATATTTGCTTTTTTCCTTGAAAATGCACAAAAACCAATTTGGTATAGTGACTAAGGTACTGGTCTAGAAACCAAAGAGACTGTGAGTTTTAGTTCAACTCAGCTTGAAGGCTGGCTGTGACCTTGCTCCAGTCACTCTCGGCCCAGCCAATCTCAGGGTTTTTGTTGTGGGGAAAATGAAAGAGAAGGGAGTATTAGGTGCATTCACTGCCTTTAATTACTTATAAAGTAATAAAGGCAGTATAAATACCCCACTTTTCCCTGTGCTCTTTGTGTTCCCCTCCCCCACATTTTAATGGTATTTATTGTTGTTATTATTTTATTGTGTACTAGTTTTAATGTTTCCAAGTTGCCCAGAATATACAACTGGTATTCACTTAAGAGAATTAATATTTCTGGCGCTCCTGACAGTATCTGGTTGCCTTTTTAAAGAGCAGAAACGTGGCCAAAATGGAAGTCACATCTAAGGCCAGTAGTGACTAAAAACGCAGCTAGACAACAGAATCTCAAAGAAGATAAAATGTAATTAACTGGATATTTATAAGGAAAATGATGCAGGGCCAGCTTTTTAATACAGTGTCTTACTCAATTTGGGGGATCCAAATACATTTGGATAATGGTTACGTGTTCCACTGTGCCATATACCATATGATGCTCCTCAGAAGAATGTGGTGATAAGGCAGTGGTCTGCTTAAACAAACAGTTGGAAATCACTTAAGCTTTTGCCAAAACCCCAGCTTAGCATTTTCTGTATGTTTGAGATAAATGTCATGTCTAACATTTGCAGAGGAGAAGACGTCCTTCTAAATAGAGCAATGCCTCACTCCAAGGAAAAGTAGTAAAGCTCTCAAATGTTTCTGCTTATTGACATGTCTTCTCTTGTTCCCCTTCCTTTGATATATATAACCCCAGAGTAGCAATCAGAAAAACACACAAGTAAGCATAAGCATAACAGGTAGTCTTGACTTACGACCAAAATTGAACCCAAAAATTCTGTTGCTAAGTAAGACATTTGTTAAGTGAATTTTGTTCCATTTTACAGCTTTTTAATGGAGTGATTTAATACAGAAAATGCCATCCTTTCAACATAATTCATTTTCCAATCTAGGAACTCTTGTATATTGCAAATACTTTTGAGGCAATTCTCTACCAGAGCTATCAGTATGGACAAATCTGAGGAGCGGCTCATCACTGGATCCCTTAATGCCCCTTACTTCAATCGGTAGCAGCTTCCTTTTCTCTAACTCTAACTCGGCTAATTCTGTATGTAGGAAGAGGTAAGGTTTTTAAGCTATAGTGACTCGTTTCAAATATAAGTTTTAATGGGTAGGTTCACATACATTAATCTAAACTCAAAGTACTTTACAATTTGACCTTTTAGGTGAACCAGATGATTTTTGATAGACAAGGAAAGAGTCTACCTGATAACCAGGAAATTAGAATTAGAATCAGAATAGAGGTGGAAAGCACCTTGAATTCTCATGCTAGATGTTGCTTTGGGGCATTGTGGGTTCAAGGGATGCTACTTGCTGAGAATGGGCAAGACTGTGGCCCAAGATGAGCTAATTATACACATCAAAGCATGTCCAGAAGTTACCTACAGAACACACACCTACTAAGAAAACTGGTCATGGCAAATAAGAAGTCCTCCATTTGTATGCAAATACACAACAGGTAGATTTTAGATATGTGAATGGTATCAAATTATATAAAGATTCAGTTAAATTCTACCACACTCACTGGGACCAAATCCAATGGAAAATTGTGACACTTACTTTGAAATCAACACTTTACAAATCATCACTTGCAGGCTAACCCTGATATCTTTATTTTCTTCCTTTCCGCTGATCACGCTAAGCTTTCTTCAATGCAATTCTAGATCAAATCAAGCATAATTTCTCTCCCAATGAAATATACTGACAAGTTTCTGTCATTCTAATTATTATCTGAGCATATTTGGCCTAGAGCAAAAAGACTTAAAAATAAGATCTTTTCTACCTGGTATACTCTCCCATTCAATCAGGTGACATCTGCATTATAAATGAAAGCATATGCCAACTTGACCTACATTAGATTAAGCAAAAGAAGGTCTGGCTATCTATAATTAAACTCCACAGCATAACCTCTAATCCTTGGTCCACACACTTGAAGTATACCCAATGATGCATTGCATCTATATATTCTCACCTGAATTGCAAGCAAAGGGGGCAAAGGCCTATTCACATTTTGCAATGTGAATAGCAAAGAGAGGCTTTAATAGGGCCGCTGCCCTAATGACACTCACATGCACAAAAGTAGGGATTGGCTGCCTCTGGCTGAGGAGTTTAGAGGACACTGCCAAAGCTTTTCCTGCTTTGCATACGAGGGGAGGGAGGAAAAGAGGAAGAACTGAAGTCCTTTGCCTATATCTTAATTGACAGGGACTGAGTCACTGAGCAAAGCCAATGTTTCTGCTGACCTTTACACTCTAGCTAAGTTGACTACAGGGAATTAGTAATTGATCAGAAACCTGAAAAATTGTGGTTCCATCAACTCAGAAATGCTATAGGGAAAGGAATTGGGGCAGGCCTCCAAATATCATACAACTGGCCACTTCATTGAGGTCAGAATACTGACAGTATTTAAATAATACTGTAGTATTATTTAAACTCCTCCTCCTTCTCACTCTAAAGTCCAGAGTTTCAATTTATCTCAAATTTCTTTGTCCATTTCAGCATTCATCCTTCACTCTTTCTTCGTCTTCTCTGGGGATTTCGCTGGAGATTATTTCTGCTTTATTATTACAGTGCCTTTTCAAGATCTTTCCAACTCTGACCACTGCTGGAATTGTCCCTGAGTCAGAAATGAATTACTCCTCCTTGAAATCCACCATTTTAATGAATCTGCAGTTTAGTATTTTTAATTCCCAATCAGGAAAGTCATATTAATTAAGGAACACGTATTGAACTGTATCCATATTTATACTTCCCTTGCTACTTTTCTCTTCCCTTTGTTACATTTGTACACTATAAAATCTGCAGCCCAAATTTGTGTCACTAACATATCATGGACATCATTCATTCTAATTTGAATGACTAATACAGACTTAATTTTTTTGCTTTCATAATATATTTACTACATCCAGCAGGGCTAACGTCAAAGGTGTGATGGAACCATAACCCAAAACTTCTGGAAACATTCATATTGGCTAAGCTATTATATCTACTAATGTAATAGCTTCATTCTATATGTTGCAAAAATGTTATTTTCAATGCCATGAAACCTAAAAATATGTCTCCTATCGTTGTTGTTGTTGTTAGAAATCTATATATATAAACAAGTTAACAATGATATTATAAACAGATTTAATCAAGAGACAATATATGAAGACAAAAACAAAAGAAATCCTTGTAAACATTCGAAGTTCAAGGATACAAAAACTGCTAACTGAAAAATTAAGGATTAAGAAATAGAATTTGTACTATAAACAGGTAGACTAGAATTGAATTGAATCTAAATTAATATAGATTCAATTACAAACTATGGAAATATAAATATCACCTTTGTCAGTTTCCTATGAGACATTTGCCACTTTAATAGCTCTATTGCCCAACATTGCCAGAAATATACCTAACTGAAAGTTAAAGTTTTACATTCTATCCCATTACCCCTTGTGTGGTTCTTGTAGATGGTAGAATTCATTGTGATCCTATCAAGCAGCCACTGTGGTTTTAGCTTGTACACTGTCCAGAATCACTATTGTGAGTGGTCATATAAATAAATAAAATAAATAGAATACCTTTATTGTCATTGCATTCCACGAATGCAATAAAATTTGAAAGCTACTCCAGCACAGTGTGTGAATTGTAATTTAACTACTTATTTATACATTTAAGCAGCACTGACAAAGAATAGAGAAGGCTATGATATGAGGAAAAAGTGAATTGTGAGAAATTATTCTTTCAAATATTTGGAATTTAGTATTATCTAATTAAGCTCCTGGCCTAGCAAGTTTAACATAAATAATTCCTTGATTACCCACAATTGTGATAGTAGCTGTTGAAACAGATGGTTTGAAATAAATGAAGATGAGATGATATCTGAAAAAGTAAATCAGTGGCTAGCAATTTGTTTATGCTCTAAGTCAGTAAATATCATTAACTCAGAATACTTAATGTAGGGAGCGATATAATTTCCTTGTGGCTGTTCAAGGGTTCTGGTTGCACTAAACAGCTTCCATGCTCTTCAAATGAATTTTTTTCAGCTGACACTTTGAACCATTGGGTAATTAAATAATTTTAGGCTCTGGCTTTTCTTTTATATTCCTCTCAAATGCTTTCAGAAACTTCAAGGTACTGATTGTTTAGACATGTATTCATTTTAAAAAATTGCATTTTATGAATTAAGTATTTCTTGGTCAACCAGACCCACACAAAACAAAGTTCCAATGGTCACTCCGAATTCCCAAAGCAGCATAACTTATACAACCACCATGTCATTAGATCAACAGATTTCTAAAAAAACAGATTTTAAAAAGGTAGTTTACAATATTTGAAGTTAGCTTCTTCATTCTTCCAAGGCAGTTGATCTTTCTCTCTCAAAGACTCTTCCTTCTGAATCAGGCCTATGATATTTTAACAACAAAGCCTCTCTAGTGGTGACTATTAAATTAATTATAGTTGTATTATGATTATAATTTTTTGGAGGGGAGAAATAGTTTTGGGATTTTTCCTGTTCAGGCGCTGAAATAATCTTACATTTCTTAAAAACATTGAATTATAGCTATTTGGTGGTGAGCCTGAGGCAACCATCTCTCCAAATCAACTTCTTGGATTTTATTCTAATTTTAGTGCAGAGATCTTCTAATAAACCCTCCTTATAAAAACTACAACAAATCCAAATTGGTTACTGTTGGGCTGAATTGCTTTCCATCTTTTCTTAAACTGACAGAATGTTGTTATTGCTATGTACCAACTGTTTTTGACGCCTTGATATGAAATTTGCTGTCTCTGTTGCCAACCCCAATCTTGCATCCATTTTGGCTACATGACTAAGAGGGTATTGTGGTAAAGGGAAAAAATGCTACTTTAACACCACTGTTTAAGGATGACCTAAGCTGTTTTAACATATAGAGCATCATTCTGTAATGATTGAAATGATATTAAACTTGGCCTGTGTTAGTGTGATTTTAGCAGAACAATGGCTGGATGACTCTAGAAGATGCTGTAAGGAACTAATGACCTTGTCTCATTGCAGACTGTGCAAAAGAGGAAGGGAGTGTCGTGGGGAAAAGCAGAAAAAGCTGTTATCAGGGAATATTCCTACCATGGTTAGCTACAAGTGGAAAAAGATTTATGGCTGCAGAGAGATCACTGCATACAGGGGTAAAACAGAGAAGTCTTTTAAAAATCTTTTGCAGCAACCATTCAAGTTGACCGGTTCATTAAAGCCTAATATACTTATCTTGGCATAAGTAAACCTTTCCAAGCCTGGTACCCTCTAGATGTGCTGGACCTCAAGCCCATCTTCAAAACAGCTGATGGGAACTAGTCCAGAAGGGATCTATCTAAGGAAGGCTGATTTCAATATGAATGCAGCTTCTCCTTGTCTTTGACAAATCCTTCACCCTCCCAATTTGTTGCCTGCTGAGAAGATTCTTCCTAGCCATGATCTAATTGCTCTCTGGTGCACAATTTCGCTGCAAAGACACCCACACACGTTCTCCGGCAGAGGGGAAATTTCCACATTCTGTACCTGCAAGGCCTCCTGTGCCTATGTGAATCTGGGAATCCTTGGGGAAGGGTGGGGGGGGGGGAGAGATGCATGCACGCTCGGAGTGCCAGGTCCGCATCTTTTACCTTGGGGTCCTTCTCGTAATAATATTGCTGGGTGCGGATCCACCGTCCCACCAAGTGATCGCGCACAGTGTGCGCCAAGGCGAAAAAATAATCCCGCGGGGTGGCCACATTCCGGTCTTTCACCAGGGTGAAGTGGAGATGCCGATTGAAGCTCTTCCTAATCTCCGCCACATCGCCCAGGCCGGCGATGCCCCGCACGCTGATCTGTTTCCTTTTTTCGCTGTCGCTAAGCGGAACGGCCATCCCGGCTACTTAAGCGGCGGCCCCAGGAAGGTCGTCTGTCTGGAACGGCCCAGGCGTCGGAGCGAGCGGCTGTTTCGGATAGATTGCTCTCCCTCTCTTCCTCCGGCTGCAGTCGCTTGGGCGGTTAGCTGGATGCGAGGTTCATCGGAGGTGAGGGGTGGGATGAGAGCAAAGAGCTGCAGCCTCGATCCTCTCCTCCTGCTGGCGGCTCTGGCAAAGCTTGGCCCGGCCTCGCTGCGGCAGCGCCTGCGCTGTGGGGACTAGGCAGCCGGAGCAACTTTCAAAACAAGACCAGCCGGCGGTGGCGCTTGTGTCGCTTCCCTCTCTTTGCTCCTTTTCTTCTCTGCGCTGGATCGTCCCGGGATATTTTCCCGCGATGCTGGCGAGAGGCGCAGAGCAGCAGCGGACAGAAGCGGGTGAGCGGAAGCGCGAAGCGGATCACCCGCAGATGAAAGGCATCCCTCGGGCGCCTAACCGAACGTGCAGCGGGCCCTCCTGCCTTTGCAAAGCGCAGCTCAAAGAGCGATGCAGCGTCTGCACATGCGCACTCTGAAGACCAGCGCTAAGCGCCCCGATTACGGCAACGGGGCTGGAGATCGATGGGTGCCTGAACTCCGAGGGATTTGGTCCTGTGTATGTATGTCTTGCCTTAGGACACTTAGCCTTAAACCGGCTGAAGGGGAACGTTAAGCTCTGTGCGGGAACGGAAAATAAGTAGCTCAATATCTAATATTCAGTCAGAGTTGAAGAAGCTTCTTGGATGAGAAGCGAAACGTATTCAAAGAAAAATCAGAAAGTCCAGTTGCCTCTTGAAAAAAAAACAAAAAACACCTTTGAGACAAGTAGCCAAAAAAGTTATCGCTTATGAGACTTATACGGATTCGGTTACAGAGGCTATGAATGCCCAGCTGGGAGACCTGAAAAAACAAGTGAGGAAGAGATCTATCCCGGTAGTTCTTAGGAATCATAAACGACTTGATGTCACATCATCTTCAGTTACCAGTTGCATTAAATCCGCTGAAAGAAATGACTGGAGCTAACAGAATACAAAGTTCATCTGTCAAGCGGTCTGATGCTCTCTCATATGACAGATTACTTGTGGTTTTTAAGGCGTCAGCATATGGAGTACCATTTAAAATGGATGTGGTTCATGCCAAATTGTTAGCCTCATGTGATATGTGATCAACTGAAGTTTAGTTATCTGACAGATGTCTGGAAATGTTTGCTTTATTAATTCAATTTATAGATCACTTACTCAATGTATGATTTTGAGTGACACCCAAACAAGTTAATCAATAAAGCATCTACAAGCTCCCAAATCTGAGGTATCTGTATACTGTATCAACAACTTCCCAAACTTGCTCATATTCCACGGATATCCTGGTACCAGTAGGAAACTACCTGTCCCCAAATTCAGAGGAATAGCTGCAGACTTATTTGGTTTTACTAGAATCAGGAACCATTTATTTTTGCTCTGCATCACCCCTGCTTCAGGAGCAAATACCAGTCTGATGGAAGGGGTGTAGACTTGTCTGTAGAAGGGGGGAGGCAATACAATTGAATAAACAGAGGGTTGGGATGCCATCTGCCCTAAGGAAACTTTTCCCAAGCTGTCCTGGACATTTTGTGCAACTGGCAAATAATACATTCAGAATATTAGTGAATTAAAATAATTAGCCGTTTCCAGGATTTGGGAGAGTGTACCTCCTTGTTCTGACCATTATATAGATGAAAATAGGAAAAAAACTGCTTTTACAAAAAGTTCTATTGTCACAGCAATAAGCATTTCAGAAATTTAGCAATCTTCCTTACCAGGAGCTACAAAGGTTAGTTGATGTATCAAGAATAGATTCCTGTCCATTTCCTCCAACTTCTAACTTTCTTAAAGGAGCCAATGGACATGGAAACCGAAACTGCATTGGAATGAAGTGGACATGTGCTATGGTGATTTTTTAAGTCGGGCAGGTCAGACAAACAAAATTACTATGGCCAAAAACCAGCATAAAACAATACTATATATATTGTAAAAGGTATAAAAATATAAAACTATAATATGAAAGGCAAGAAATGATTCTATATGGAGAATAAATCAAATTAAGATTAAAGTATATACAAAACAAATAGGTATAGAAGCAGTTGCTGAAGGCAGAAGGAAGCAAACACATTCTTAACTTACTGCACCTCTGCATGGTTTGCCAATTGCACAGTGGCAGATAGGAAAGCACTCCAGAGGGTTAATGTCATTGCCCAGAAGATCATGGGTTGCCCTCTCCCCTCTTTGGAAGAGCTTTATAGCTCCTGCTGCCTTAAGAAAGTTCAAAACATTCTTAAAGATCCATCTCATCCTGGGCACCCTTTTTTTGAACTATTACCATCTGGCAGATGGTACAGAATAATAAAAACAAGGACAAACAGACTGAAAAACAGCTTCTATCCCAGGGCAGTAGCTCTTTTGAATTCTATTGTATAGTGCATTGTTGGTGTGGTATCGGGGTTTTCAATTCAATGTGTGGAATGTGAAGGATGTGTGTTTGTGTTTATTTTCATGGTTATGATGTGTACTGAAGGTGGTGTTTGATTTCATTGTATGAGGTGCAATGACAATAAAGTAAACTAAACATAAATGAAATAAAAAATGAGAAAAGATATATATTGTTAACTTGTTACAGGCACCAGCTTTTACATACTGCCCCTTAAAATGTTGCTACATTGTTATTGTTTAGGACAATAGATGTGGTTTCTGATATGCCTGGAGTACCTGGAAAATCTACCAACAAGGATATTAAAATATGTGCTATATAGATAGCTGTTAATTTTGGCAAACTAGTATTGCCTTCTCATTTGTTTGTATCTTCCCAACCCCACAATGACAATCATTCTGACAAGTTTTTTTTATATCTACTCTCTAGCATCCATGAGGGAAGGGCAGTCTTAGCCATAATTATTAAAATGTAAGGTCATTTGAACTTCCTTCCTTCAATTTCATAGGCTTCTAGCATGTGAAAAATCTGAGGCCCCAATGCCTTGCATTCCGCTCCAAGCCTTCACACTGTGATGACCCAGAATGTAACAAAATCCAAAACATAAATAAATGTTCTTTAATGCCTCCAAACTTGGCCCCATTGTTCAATAATTCTCAGTTGGAGATAAAACGTACTCAAAAATAGTCTTCAAAAGAAAGCAATACAGTCTGAATTTAGCAGAGGTGAAAATAAAAATCAAACAAAGTACAATGATGAAATTTCCACAACGGAACATAAGTATTTACCAAATACAAGGAGATAACAAGGTACAGTCTGTTGAAAGGACGCCAACCAAGATAACCTCAAACCAAAATAAAACATGCTTTGTCTCCAGCACATTTGCCAGAACGCAGGTCCAAACTCTTATGCAGTTCTGTTGCAGCCCATGAAAAGGATCAAGGCCCACTCCTCCCAAGTAGACCATGTCTCTCCCTTATCCTCTCTCTCCTCACTGCGTGCCCTAGGATGGATAGGGGATGGGCCAGGTCCTCCTCTGACTGCTCAGCCGGCCTCTGCCCTTCCCCAGCCTCCTTTACCACCTCCGGAGCCACACTTCCACTCCCTGTTGGCTGGTCCTCCTCTCCCTCAGTCAGTCTCCACCAGGGGCATCACTCACTCACTCACTCACACACACACACATTAAAATAAATTTGGTTTGGGAAACATAGATCTTTTATATCAAAACCAAATGAGAACCCTGGCCTGAAAATTTTGCTCATGTGACAATATAGGCAGAGTGAAATAATCCAATCTTCATTTTCTGTTAAGTAACAGAAGACAGCATTAACACATAGTTATTACACCAATTGCTGGAATGTCCAGGATTAAATCAAGTCAATTTACTAAGATTTAAAAAAATGGAGCTTTAATAATAACTTTAGATATTAAATTTCTTCCTTATCTAATTTGCAGCTGAATTTTTCCAGAGATATCAAATTTCTTTTGAGCTTAATTATGCCCTCACTGTATTGTCAAACTGCATTTAGCAAATGTTGTTTTAGGAATAGATGTATTTCATATAGACAAGGACTTCCATTAAAATGGTGCAATGAAATTCTAGACCCAAAATCTCTATAATCTGAAAAATAATCCTAAATATCTCTTACAAGGTGATCCTTTTTACAAAAATCCAAAATCCAGACTGAATGAAGTTTTATGTATTTCAGGTGGATGTAAATACAAAGGTAGCACAAAACTGCATAGAATAGTTAAGCTAGAATTTCTCTTTAAATTTTTACTTGTCAAGCACAAACAGCCTTGTGATGATCTTTTTCAGAAAACAAGATGTACCTGGTCATGTAACAGTATTGAGAATACTGTACCAGACTAGGTCACATTGTATATGCTAATTAACTTTTTAATACAATGAAATCCTTTGTTCTATTTGATTTTAGGACCTTATTCTTTGTACATAGCTGTAAATTGTTTCCAGACTATATCTGGAATCAAACCAAAATGATATTCTGCAGGTATCACTAGACTCTATTAGCTTGTTTTTCAAGAACATACATTCTTTTCCAGTTCGGTATTTGATTTATCTTAACCACTGTCTTAGTCATCCTATTTACTTCCTTTGAATAATTAATAGAACATTAGTCTTTTTATTACCCTGGGGAATTTCATCAATGCTCAACATTGTTTAAAAGTCAAGCAAAGGCAGTTTTATAGCTTGCTTCCATCTAAACCTCTTTATTTGAAGGTTTTTTTGGATTCAGTGGGAATCCATATAATTTACCAATTGAGTACAATTGGGACTGTTCACTGCATCAGTCAACAGTTTCAATTGTATCAGATGTAATGGGGAGTTTAGCAAAAATTGAATAAATTATACATATTATAATGTCTGCTTCAAACTGCAGGAGAGTCACATTTTTGCCTATCAGCTTTGCTGCAAATATAACTCAAAAGCTAGTTTTTAATATCCAAGCCATTCTGGGTATTTCCCAAATGCTGACATCATAAGATTACACAGTCTTCAATTACAGGAATGCTTTAATCTGAGTTATGGAATGAAAAGTCAGCAGACAATGAAAAGATAAAAATAAACAAGATTGCACAATTAATGGAAATATATCACAATGAAGTAGCAAGGAGTGCAATGACAGATGATATGAACCAAACCAATGGCAAGGGACACAGCTGGTTTATTTCTTCCTTTAATGCAGCCAAGGAAAAGATGAACCAATTATCAGCATATTAACTTAATTCATATCCATATGGATATGTACAAATGTCTATTTTTATATATGGAACATGCCAAAAAGAAACAGCAACAACAAAAATATTTTGACTTTTCACATATATTCTGTGCTTATAAAAACACATTCTATCAACTAGACTGGCCAGTAGACCAACTTTCTTAATGCCATAATTTAAGTGCTCTGTTAAATTATGTATGAATAAAATATAAGAATATATATCTGTAACTTTTCACTTCCACAATGGGCTATTATGCTGTGTCTACAACGTTTGCTCTATTGCAAGCGTTACTGTGAACCATTTCAGTTTTAGACAAAATAATCAAATGCATCTTTAAAAATCAGGACCGCAGTAGCTAGGGAGGGCAGGAATCCTTCCTTTCTTTCCTGCTATTTCAATTCATTGTCCCTGCTATTAGTAAGAGAAAGGCCTTGGTTGATATCAGTTGATGTTTTTCTCTATAGTTATTTATTGTCACTATGACTCTAGCAGCAGAGGTGAGTTGATCCTTTCATGCTGCAGTTCTAACAATCCCTGCAATGTCTAATGTGTTTACAGGACTGGCACAGTTTCTAAGAAAACATAGATTTCGTACTGTCATTGTTTCCTCTTCCTAGTATCACAAAAGCAGTTTGGCCTGCTTTATAGCTAGTAACTTTACAGATCATCCGTCCCAGGCAGTATCTGCCAGTCCTACCTAAAGAGGTAGAGACAGGAAATGTCTATTTTCTGTTGCTTTTCCAGCCTTTTGAAATAATCAGCTGCCCCTATCAACATTTAGGAGATAAATTCTGCTATGATTGCTGATGTCTTGGAACCAAATGGTAGGATGACGCAAAAGTTTCTGCAGATGATAAAAAAGGATCACCAGAGTTGCATTGTTTCAAATAAATCATTTGTTTTACTACACTTTCAAGACCATTGCAACCTATCCAATGATAAACTAAGTTCAACCTTCAACCCAGCACATTTTGGGATGTAGAAATATTTTTGAACAGAACCCTTGGGTGGAAACAGCCTTAATACTGTTGAAATTCAACTCGTAACCTTCATATGGTTCCCCAATCTTTGTTTAATGCAAAAATAAAATTTAATTGTTTAAAAGAAGACTGTGAAATAATGCTTTAAAAATATTTGAAGTTTACTTAGTAGCTGAAGGAATCTTAAATATACATCTCTTTACTGAATTGATATATACAAAATTTGGAACATACATATTATCTTAACATAATCTAATATTTAAACCAAAATTAAACAAATGTACATAATCGTTACTAGAACATTCAAGCATTTTTCCTGACTTTCCAGATTATTTCTCAGATATAGGTATAAATGTTGCAGTAGGGACCTTTCTGGCTTTCATACAAATTTATACAATCAAAAACTTCTACAAGTATTTTATAACTGATCAATATATTCCAAAAAGCATGTATGGCACGGCCAAATACTGCCCTGATGTTAGCCTATGTAAAAAAATTCATTCAGCTATTGTTATGACCATATGAAAAGTTTATTTCTTCAGTTTTGGATACAGATTGTCCTCGTTTAGCAACTGCTTCAGATAGCAACTGTTTACAAATACAACAGTAATAAATAGTAGTAAAAATATTTTTCAATCAATGCATGCACTTCTGCCCAAATTTCTGCACTTGACCATAATATACACCAGAATGATATTAATGCTTTGTTGCTACAGTACATGAGAGAATTCTACCAAAATGGCAGCAACCAGTGATATTTGTGGGGCCTCTCAGCCATGTGGCTTGTTTAATGTTTGTATCACTTAGCAACTATTTCACTGGAATCAATTGTGGTTGCTAAACAAGGATTGCATGTAATGAGTTATAGCAAGATAACATTAATCTAATCTTTTGCTTGACAGCAGGAACAAAAAACATTGTGCCATTTAAAAGTGAGACTGTTACAGAATGGAATACACACCAGAAAGAAATTAAGGCAGTCAAAATCAAGGGGAAAACATCAACTGAATTCTGTGTGGGAACAAGCATTTTGCCCAGCTCATCCATTCCAAAATAAACCAGTACCACAAAGGCTTTGAAGGATTAAAAGCTGGGTTTCAAAAGGTAACCTAAATATGTGTCAGTAAGAGTTTCACAAAGCATAACAAAGTTTTTAAACAAATACCCCAAAATTTCACATTTTAAAATTTGAATGCCTACAACCTAACATTCAAAGGTAGTTAAAAAGTTGCTTGCTTCTGATGTTAGCATTTATATGCTTGCGTCAAAAAAAGGCAAAACACCTGCCTAAAGATTAAATGCTTTTCTTATAAAGAACATCAAATAAACCAGAGATCATCAGCAAATGTTCATTAAAAATCAAAGGACATTTGTTATAATAATTTGGTTTGATTTCTGACATGCTTCTGCTTTTAGCTGTCATGGATTATTCTTTTTAAAATAAGTGTTAACTGATTTTGTGTGACACTAAAAGTATTTGTGATCCCAGGACAATACTGGGCACCTTAAGCTGCCACCTGAAGCACCAGCCTCCTTTATTGAAAGATTTAAAACATTTAAAAGTGTATTTTATTTGTAGCCCTTTTTCAAAGGAATCAATCAGGTCCAATTTCCTAGACTCATTTTCTCCAGGCAGTAAATCCCTAATATTATAGCATGTGAAGTGAATCCATGTAGTGAAGAATAGCTCCCAAAGCCCAGCTGGTTTCAATATTGTTAATCTTCTGGGCCAGCTATAATGAAAAGAAAACATGATTAGAAGTCTTGGAAGTAGAGATGTTTCTGTGGGCTGTTTAAGACATCGTGATCTATATATTTCAAGAGACTGCAGTGCATAATAGCCTTCCATGTAGTACACACATACCCAATTTATGTGTTGCCTTAGTTTTACTTAAGTACCATTTGGAATCCATGAGCTCCCAAATTTTATAATATAGGGGGAAAAGAGGAAATAATATATCTTGGCTATAGTATTTGAAATGTATAAAATTGCAATAGCAATAGCACTTAGATTTATATACTGTTCCATAGTGCTTTACACTTACAGCACTCTCTGAGCAATTTACAATATCAGCACATGCTCATTTTACCAACCTTGGAAGGATGGAAGGCTGAGTCAACCTTGAGCCAGTCAGAATAGTGCATTCTAACTACTGTGCCACCACAGCTCCTAAAATCCTGAAATCTAAAATTGTGCAGGAAGTTCCTGGTGTAGGTTTATGAAATGGAGCAGTCAAAATAAATTTTGTACACTTTAAAATCAGAAATTTTATTTTGCACATTTAAAACTATTGTACATGATTCAAGGTGGGATGCAATGTCTGAGGCATAGTTTCTCTCTTCGTGTGCCTGTTTAGAGTACTTTAGTCTCTCTCTTCCCCATGTCTACTTCTGCTTTTTCAAAATCTTTCTCTAACTCAAAACGTTATCCCAAAATTCTAAAAGAATAAATATTTCCAAAGTTGAAACTTTATTATTTTTTAAACAAACTGCCTTAATTTATGTTTGACAGATATTTGTGAAACAAAATTTTGGATATCCCCTTTCCTCTACTATTAGTACTTAGTATTGATGTTATAATTCTACTCCAAATATTGACATTAAAAATTATTACCTTAAGAATGTGATTCTTTTGAAAGCCCAGTTCTTTCAACAGCAAACTGATGTAGGTAAGATCCATGCATAAGAAAGGATGCTTTCCTTGTTGAATTTCCATTGTTTTACAGGCTGGGTAATTAAAAAAAACAAAAAATGTTAAAAAGCAGTTAAAGCTTTTTTGGAACTTGACTTAGTAAGAGAGACTTGGACACTATACTGTGGCAGTGTGTGGCTTGTTTCTTTTTTCCTTCTTTGCTTTTTTTATCTTCCCCCCTTAATAATCTATTTTTTTGCTGACATCTGTGACAGTGGCCTGTTAAATGGTTTTTCCTTTTTAATTTTTAATCTTTATTTTTTTAATCCTCACTACTTTGCTTTTACTTTTTCCCTTTGGATTCCTTTTTACCTCAAAGTATATTGATCTACTTATTTTAATTTTTTCTTTATTTTCCTTTTTTTTCTTCTCTTTTTTTTAGGATTTGGAACACTATTTTTTATATTGTTTGGCTTTTTCCATATTGATTACTTGGATTAAGGTATTGAACCTGAGGATCTTTTTCTTTTATTTTTTCTTATTATAATTTTTGCTTTTTTATGGTTTTCTTTTTAATCAACTGGATTTATTGGAGGGGTATACAAGAACCTGAAGATTTTTCTTTCTCTTTGCTTCTGCCTTGTAAAAATGAGTAGAAGACCATCAATTACTGGTTCTTCAATACCAACTACAGCTTCTTCAACATCTGGAGGACAACGATCAACAGCGGCGATGTCACAGCAGGAAAAAGAGAAAGAGGTGACCTTATAGATGATTTGGCAAGGAGTTCAAGATATAAAGTTAAGAACAGAAAAAACAGATGATAAAGTTGAGAATATCCACCAGATGATGATGAAGTATGAAGAAAGAATCCAAAAAGTTGAAGAAAGAGAGGAACAAAGGAATAAGAAGATTGGCGATATTGATAACAGATTGAACGTGATTGAACAGGACAAGAGTATGCTGAGATGGGGAATAGATAGATCTGAATTCTATCTTAGATTTCAAAATGTAGAGGAAGAAAAAGGAGAAAACTTGGCAGAAATAATGATAGAAATTCTGGCAGAAGCACTGGAAATAACTAAAGAGAAAATGATGGATGGAGTAGATGAAATTTTTCGAGTCTTTACAAGATATGCAGTGAGAAATAATCTACCAAGAGAAATACAGATAAGATTTACGAAGAGGGCCATTAAAATGCAAATATTACAGATAGCAAGAGAGATAACAGTGAAATATAAAGGCAAGGAGATTGTGGTCTTGAAACAAGCACCTAGAAAAATAAGAGAGATGAGAAGAGAATATCAATTCCTGATTAAAATTCTTTTGAAGAAAGGTGTGAACTACAGATGGCTGATACCAGAAGACCTTCAGTTTATATGGCAAGAGCAAAGACGTAGAATTGATTCAATTGAGAAAGCAGAATTATTTTATGCAGAATATTTCAGAGACAAGGAAGATGAGAGGGAAAGACAAGAAGCAATACTCAAACTTCAAGAGGAGTGCCTTGAAGTGATTCAAAAAGAACAAGGAGCTGTAGGAGGCAATGGGGAACCTAAAGAACAACGAGAGGTGAGATCAACCAAAGCTGTTAACCCCTCCTATAAAGTATAAAACATGGAAGAGAAAAAATTGATTACAATTAATATAAATGGACTTAATTCTGCTATTAAAAGGAAAATATTTCATAAATTAGAAAAATTTAAATTTGATATAATTTGCCTATAAGAAGTGCACGTTAAAAAACAATATGAACAACTACTGGTACAGCCAAAATTAGGGAAAATATTTACTTCACTGACACGAGTTAAGAAAAGAGGAGTAGTCTTATACATTAAAGATACAATTCCAGCAAAACAAATTTACACGGACAATGATGGAAGAGTTTTGATGGTGGAGATAATAGACAATAATGTGAAATAAATTGCATAATTGCAATTTATGCTCCAAATGACAATCAAGAAGGATTTTATAAAAAATTACACAGGACAATAATTGACTTAGAATATGACAATATATGTATGTTGGGGGACTTTAATGGAATAATTAACAAGGAGATGGACTATAAAACACAGAAAACAATAAAACAAAAGAGAAAGATCTTGCCAAATTTTTTTTTTAAATGACAGATGAACTAAACCTAAAGGACACTTGGAGAGAAAGAAATATTAAAAATAGACAATATACTTTTTATTCAAATAGACATTCATCATGGTCCAGAAGAGATATGATATGGATGTCAGCGGAATTGATTATTAACATACAGGAAATTGAGATAGAAACTGGTACCTGGGCAGACCACAATCCAATGACAATTAAGTGGAAAGGACAAAGAAAAAGATCTAGATGGATTTTAAATAATGCTTTATTAAAAGAAAAGGACTTCACACAGAAAATGGAGAAAGAATTGGATTTCTTTTTCAAGGAGAACAGAACGGAAGATACATCAATACAAAACTTGTGGGATACAATGAAGGCTTACCTTAGGGGTTTGATAATAGACTATACAAAGATAAGAAACAAAAAGAAAAGACAAGTGTTGAAAATGTTAGAGGATGATTACAAGAGACTTGAGAAAGAACTTCAAAAATCACCATTAAAAAAAGATGTGAAAATACAAATGGACATAGTTAAACACAAAATGGGACTAATGGAAAAAGAGGAACTAGCACAGAAAATTAGAAATGCTAAGCAAAACTATTTTGAAGATGCAAATAAGCCAGGCAGATGGTTAGCATATAAACTGAAAAAGGAGAATGAATCAAGAAAAATAGCTTAATTGATAGATGACCAAGGGCAAGCCTGCTATGGAAATACAGAGAAGAAAAAAATTGTACACAACTTTTATCGGAAGTTATATGAACAAGAGATAATAGAGGAAGGGAAGATTAAACAATATCTACAGAAAGTGAATTTGCCTCAGATACCAAAAGATATTGAAACGATGTTAGAGGGAAACATAACGATGATGGAACTAATGGAAGCAATTAAAAAAACACAATAATGGAAAAGCACCGGGCTTGGACGGATTGCCAGCTGAATTTTATAAGACATTCCATGAGCAGTTGAACCTTTTGCTTCTGGAAGTTATGAAGTTATGTTAAAAAAGAGGACACCTAAATCATGGTCAGAAGCATATATTACACTTGTGCCAAAGGAGGAAGTGGACCCGCAACTAATTAAGAACTATCGACCCATTTCCTTATTGAACTCAGACTATAAAATTTTTGCTTCAATAATGGCAGAAAGACTCAACAATATTTAAATAATTTTAATCACCCCAATCAAAATGGATTTCTACCAAAGAGGCATATTAAAGACAATATGAGAACTATCCTGGACACATTGGAATACTACAAGGCACATCCTGAAAAACAAATGGCCTTGATATTCTTAGATGCACAGAAAGCTTTTGATAATGTACATTGGTGATTTATGTTATTACAATTGGAACAGATGGGCTTTGGTAAGAAATTTATTCAAGCCATAGAAGCTATATATCATGATCAAACAGCAACGGTAATGATTAATGGGGAATTAACAGACTCTATTGCTATAATGAAAGGTACAAGACAAGGTTGGCTGCTGTCACCTCTGTTGTTTGTGTTAACATTAGAAGTGCTAACTAGAGATATAAGAGAAACGAAAGAAATAAAAGGAATGAAAATTAAGAAAGAAGAATACAAATTACAAGCATTTGCAGATGACCTGGTTTTTATATTAGAAGACCCACTGGCAATAGCGACTAGGTTGATAGAAAAGATAGAGGAATATGGAGTGGTAGCTGGTTTAAAAGTAAAGATAAAACAAAGATTCTGATGAAGAATATGCAAGTAAAACAGAGGGAAGAATTGGCGGAAGTCCTGGAAATCCAGTTCACAAATAAGGTTAAATACCTGGGAACACATTTGACAGCAAGATGTGGCACACTTAAAGAGAATAATTATAATAAACTCAAGCAACAGATTGTGACAGACTTGGAAAAATGGGAAAACTTACAATTATTATTAATAGGGAGAATATCAACAATGAAAATGAATATTCTACCAAGAATTTTTTTATTTGTTCCAGACAATTCCAATTAGATTAGGGAAAGAGTATTTTGATGAATTGAATAAAATAGTGCTGAAATATATCTGGCAGGGGAAAAAAGCAAGAATAAAATTAAAGTTATTACAAGATGCTAGAATAAGAGGTGGGTTCGGTCTGCCAAATTGAGAGTTATATTATCAAGCGACAACTCTGATGTGGGTCAAGGAATGGATTACATTGAGAAATACTAGATTATTGACACTTGGAAGGACATGATTTGTTGTTGGGTTGGCATGCTTTCCTATGGTACAAGGGCACTAAAACACATGGATATTTTAGAAGACACTATATACGAGAGGCTTTATTATTAAATTGGGAGAAGATTAAAAGGCAACACTATTTGAAAATTCCAGTCTGGCTCTCAACTATAGAAGCATTTTCATATCCAGTGATATATAAAATGGAACAAACAATTAGGTATGGTGAAATTATGAATGAAAAGGGTGAACTTAAATCTATGCAAGAACTGGAGCAACGAAGTATACGAATGAATTGGTTTTCATATGCGCAAATACATTCTAGATATGATAAAGATCTCAAAACAGAAGGTTTTTATGATAAATTAACTGCCTTAAATTTTAACAGGTACTGATGAAAAGGTGATTAAGAAATCATACGGATATTTATTAGAGGTTAAATCAGAAGAAGAACAAGTTAAAGAAACAATGATTGCATGGGGGAAAAATTTTGGATACAGGATTGACCTAGAGAGATGGCAAAAACTATGGTCTCAAAATTATAAAATGACAATGTCAACTGCATATAAAGAAAATTTGTATAAGATGTTTTACAGGTGGCATCTTCCCCCAACGAGAATAGCAAGAATGTTTAAGAATAAATCCGAAAAATGTTGGAAATATCATCAGATACCTGGCTCATTTTACCATATGTGGTGGACATGCGCAGAGGCGAAAAAATATTGGACTACAATCCACACATGGTTGGAAAAAATGACAAAAGGTCATATTGATTTTAAACCAGAGATATTTTTATTGGGTATTGTACCAGAGATATACAGTAGAGAACTGATATATTTGATTGTGAATGTACTAACAGCAGCTAGAATTGTATTTGCAAAAAATTGGAAAAATGAGAAAATACCAACACAGGAGGAAGTTATTGAGAAAATAGTGGAATGTGCAAATGTGAAATGAGTAAATTGACATTTGAAATTAGAGAACAAGAAGAAAAACAATATTATCAGATATGGGATTTATTTTATCAATGGTTAGAAAAAAAAGTGTGGAAATGATATATTTTATAGATAATTTTACAATATAAAAATAATAGAATTTAAGAGAAAATGATATAAGAATGTATTTTTATTTGATTCAGTGGCAATGGAAGTTACATTACATATTGGTTTAAAATGTTGAATATCTTATATGAAGTGGTGGAACAAATAGTTATTGCCAAATGAAAGAACCATAATGATAATACTTATATATATACATAAAATGGAAAATATGAGAATTTATGTGACTTGTGAAGGACTATGAACACATAGCACAAAAGAATTGCAACCAGTCGACACATTGTATGTAATTGAAAGATGGTTTTATGTTTTTATGTATTGTTTTGTCTGTGTTTGTTTAGAAAAATAAAAAACTTTTTTTTAAAAAGCAGACTTGCTAGAACTATTGCCATATGAACACTTTCCTCTGGATAGTAAAGAGCCTTTGTTGGATTGTATTTTATAAAACTTCCTTAGATCTTGAGGCATGCAAATAACAGTACTTACCTCTCTTTGCTGCACTTTCAAACTTCCTGACTGGTAGGATCCCTCCTTTTTTTTTATCTAAAGGAAGAGAGGGGGAAAAACAGTTCTGCAGTCCTAGAACACAGAGTGCAGTATTGGCAAAACAGATGCCACTCTAAATGATTACTAAATGGTTAAGTAGACAGTGGTGTGTGCATTTCAAGCACAGATCTTTAGGTTTAGTGCTCATTAAAATAAGAACGTGTCTTATTTTTACATTCTTTAACAGGGAAAAATGCACTGCAATATTCATAGTTACCGAAATGAATAGACATTCAATTGGAATCTTTTTGTACTTAAGATTTCTAGGTTCTGATAAAGGTTTCTACAAATTATTTCACTAAACCAATAAATAAAATAACAATGCAAATACCACATTAAAGAATAAGCATAATCTTGGGAAGTTTCCAGTGAGCCATTATGATAAATTGACATTCCTGTAGAATAGCAGAACACATTGCATCTGAAATTGTACCTGAATGCAGGATTTGGGCTGCTGAAATCTGAGATCCCAAGATTACCCATATGTATTCTGTACACGATATTTTTTTTTTGCAAGCAATTGGCAGAAACTGCATTTTTGTGGTTGGCTTGTCATCAGCTAGGCAGCATGGATTCATGCTTGAAGTTTCTAATGTTGCCTATATGGGCTTTAAGTTTGACCAAGGTTTATCTTGCTCTTTTTAAAGATTGAGAACCTAAAAGCTGGGAAGTTTTATATAGTATATCTCCTTTAACAATTTCCCCCCAAAAAAATTAATTATAAGTTAAAGATTTGTACTTTGTGAAATATACAGCAAAAAGATGATCACTGTTGGCTCTAGAAAGTTTTAAAATGTATTAAAGGCTTAGATGACCTTTAGATTTTATTTATTTATTTATTTATTTAATTTATATCTAGAATATAAGTTATTCCAATCAGTTTTGTATTGTATTGAAGATAAGCATTCCCTACATCTACCTCTAATGAGATGTAGGGAATGCTTATCTATATTCAACTGGCTTGCTACTCAGAATATCATAGGGTAGCTGATCAAACTTTTTGCTGATCAACATATATTATGTTCATAGAATTCTTAAGCTTGCACTGAGAAAGATACACTTATTTGTGATCACTCTTGCACAATACTCTCCCAGATGGATGGACAGGAAGACTGCCCAAAGTTAAGAAAGCATTCATTTACTGACAATATTTTCAGCACCTGTTTCTGATAACACCTGACTTCTAACAGGAAATGATTTTAAACTGTCTTGAAAAACTAAAATTGTAAAACATGTCTTATGTGCATTGTAATTAATAACTAGCAATTGATACATAATGTAATTTTAATAATTTAGGATGCTATACTATACCTCCAAGCTGGAAGCACTTTCTTTGGGGAAAGGATTAGCCAGTGACATCACCATTGCCTGTGGGACGCCCAGTTGTAGGTTCAAGTCCCTGCTAATGAGCTCACCAAAGTGGTACCTGTTTATCTACTTGTGTTAGCAGTTTCAAACTGCTAAGTTGGCAGGAGCTAGAACAAATGACGGGAGCTCACTCCATCACACAACAGTACTTGGGCTTTGAACACGTGTTTGCAAATTGTCAACCCAGCATCCTAATCATGTGAACTACTTCGTTCCATATAATCTAGGATAGGTGACTTTTCAGTTATGATAATCTGGCATTTGAGCAAACTAACAGAGATCCTATCCTTGCAGATTTTTCCCTCAAGAATCGATTTGTCATGGGAAAAGCCTGAGTATTCTTAAGGACTGAGTGCCAGAATAAACTGACAGCAGTGTGAGGAAACAATGCCAGTCTTATTTGCATTGTAAAACTGAAACATTAAGCTTTCCTCTGTGAATTTATTAGTTCCTCTAAAATAATCCTCTGAGAGTTCATTCAACTTTATTTTCAATGGCTTCCTTTCATCTATTGATACACTCAAGGGCTTTCCGAAGGTTCATATGTAGGCTATGCTATGATATATGTGAATGCACCATAGCCACCTATCTTTAGCTTGGAAAGATGTATTTATCTGCTTGCAATTCTGTAGGCTGATACACACACACAAACACACACGTAATATGATGATTGTGGGGGATTTCATAACACCAGTGATATACTTATAAGAAATGAATCTTTAGTTTATTTATCTTTGGCTTTGTGAATATCAAATATACCCAAAGTTTTTAGAACCTCAAAATCTAGTTTCTGAGATCCAACTTTTCTATGATACTCAAATTCATTTTCTCTCCCCCTCCTCCCTCTCCCTTCCTCTTTACACCGTCCTTGTAAGCCATAATGGGCAAAATTCTGCCTTTCAATACTGTAGGCTTCAACCTGTAACCATAATCTCTGTGTAGTCTTTTGGGTACAGAAAGGCTCAAGAATTCATGACTTTCATGGGTTTGTCCCAAGTACTGCTTGGCTTACTGTATTCATTGGCCATCCTTTGGACCAGTTATGGGATTATCTGGATATTGAAAAAATTATAACTGGTGTTCTGCCACAGTGAAATCATTTCCTATTTCAGATGAAACAAAGTGCTATCTGGAGCAAATGGACTCATTACATATATATTATTTTCTACTGAAGATGTGTTACAACAGACTCCCAGATACATATGGAGGAATTCTGGTGGACACTTGGAAATTTCCTAATAATCTGGTAGGCAGTACCATTTATTGCCTGATCCATTTGAAATGCTGCCTATTGTAGCTTTAGAATATTACTTTAATCTCACCAATATTTTACAAGTAAATAAGGATTTGAGGATTTGGGGTTAATTAAAATTACTGATATTTAACCTTTGTCCAGCACATATGAGAAGAATCTCTGAAGGCAGAGAGAAAGAAACAAGTTAGATTCTTCTTGCTCCCTTGCTTTGGCCAATTAGAATCAATGCCCTGTGGAACTCCTTAATTGTTATTGTATTTGGTGAACTAAATCCAACTTTCTAATATGAGATTCACACTGTCTTTATTGCTTGATTGCTAAATTACCTATTAAACCAGCATCAACTGCCAACTCATAATAGTAGGAAAAAGCATAGAAATTCAAGTCCTTTATTCCGGCTGTCTCATGAATTTTCTTGTTCAGCACTTTTGATATTTCATTATGACATGATTCAAAAAGCGGCCTTCCTAAAAGAAAAAGGGAAAAAAGGACAAAGGACTATAATGGAATTCATATATTGAGATTTATTATTTTTCAATATCTTTAGCAAATAGTTATTAATTAGCATCAAGTTAGAAATAAGCAAAGATGCAGGGTATTAACATTGTATAATGAGAAGGATGGCATGTGGAAATAATATGTAATTGTTTAAGCACTGGCGGAACAGTTAGGCTCTGAAGCACCATTCCAAGAGAGGTTCTGTGAATTAATGGAGACTTTTCCTTTTAATATAGACCTTCAGTATATTATGGCACATTTTATATTTTTACATTTTTTGAAATCTGTTGAGTTTTGTGACTCTGATTTATACTTGTCCTTTGTTACATCAGTGCATTATACTTTGTTCTAAACCAGCAGTCGCCAACCAGTGGGCCATGAGAAAATTTTGGTGGGCTGCAGAGAAATCTCACCCCCAGAGCACCCCCCAAAGCAATTAATCCAGGCTGTGCAGAAACACAAGGCTGCGCTGCCCAAATAGCCCGCAGGAACCCTCCCCGCCCACTCACTCCTTACCCGGCAACTTTGCCTGCTAAATTGCTATTTTTCCTTTTTCCGACCATCAGCTGTTCTGCTGTGCCGGGAGATTTAGATTAGCTAGGAAGCAGGAAATGGTTGGATTTCTTGCTTTCTAGCTAGTCTTTAGATCTTCAGCTCTGCTTTTAAGCACAGCCGAACCTCCCTTAGGACTGAAGGTTCTATTATTCAGTGCAGACTCTCAGCAAGCAAATTTGAGAGACTGAGCTAGTCGATGGCAGATAGATAGATCTCTGTGATTCTGTGAGCAACTCAATCTGCCTACCTGCTTTGCCTGATTTTGGGTAAAAGTTGCTCTTTTTTTCTAAAAAATTCAATATTTATGTAAATATTTATAATATTTATATTTAATTTATATTTACATACAAGCAATGCCTGGCCAGTCACATGATCACCAAGCCACACCCACAAATTAGGCCATGCCGACAGAACCAGTTAGTGGTCCCTGGGATTTAAAATTATGAGTTTGGTGGTCCCTGAGGTCCAAAAGGTTGGCGACCCCTGTTCTAAACTGCCTAGAAAGAAATATTTTAACTGTAATTATGAGCTGTCTAGAAGGAATAAAATGCTTTCAACTCTACTTACTCCTGCACTCAATCCTAAAAATGATGTATTTTGGAAAAATGCCTGATTGCTGGGACTATATCTGGAAAGGAGAAGATAGGGGAAAACTCTATACTCATTCTTACTCATTACTGCAAAAATGTGGTAAAACTGGCGCACGTGGGCAGAATATTATATATGCACTCCTCTATTTAGAGGAAGAATGTGTACAAATGTAGTTACAATTTCTATTCAAAAGACCCATTTACAAAAGTCAAGTATCTTTGTAAAGATAAAGAGTGACCAGGTACCTGTTTTCTGCCCTTTAACTTTGTACAGTATCTTTGCATGTTCCCATTCACCTTGATAATTTAGTGATAAGCAGGGACTTGTTAGTTCTTCGCCTTCTTTCACTGTTAGGGAAAAATATAGACAGAGTGAGTCTGCTTGAGATACAGCAATTATTTTGAATAGGCAAACAATTTTCCCACCCACATTATTCCCAAGATAATGTTTTCTATTTGATATTTGAATGTTTAGTACCGCTATAAATCAGACATAAATTCAGGGTAATAAGCAAAGCTAACGTACCCAGTTCTCCAAAGATGGAATGAAAGGTAAACTCTCCTTTGAATCAAGCTCAGTTCTGAGTGACAACAGCACAGAGGAGGTTGCTATTGCCTTCTTGCACAGTGGATTTAATTTTCCAGTCTAGACTGCAGCACATTTCCTATTGTTGACATTACCAACAGACTTCCAGATATATATTTAAAGCCTCAGGGTCCTGATAGTTAAGACCAGGTCTGTTTGCAATAATACCATCTTCATCCATGACTTGGTACAGAATCAGGCAGCAGACCTGTCGTGTTAGTGAAACTTGGATGCATGAAGTGACAATGTAGTCTGGTCAGAGATCTGCCATACCAGATTTCAAACCTCCATTTACTTTGATATCAGGGTGGGAGAGGAGGGATGCTTCTGATAATTAGAAATACCTTACTGGTGGTCAGGGGTTCTACGTCGTAGATACATCTGTGTGAGTAGGTCTATGTTAGGCTAGGTTGTAGAGACATGCTTGGGAATAAGGATTTGATTGGAAGAGAACACATTAAAGCTGAAGTCAAGTAAGATGTTGGTAATGTCAACAATAGGAAATGTGCTGCAGTCTAGACTGGAAAATTAAATCCACTGTGGAAGAAGGCAATAGCAATGTCTTCTGTGCTGTTGTCAAAAGAACTACATATATGTGTATGAAATCACTCAGAACTGAGCTTGGTGGTGCAGTGGTTAAAGTGCAGTACTGCAGGCTACTTCTGCTGCCTGCTTGCAATTTGGCAGTTCAAATCTCACCAGACTCAAGGTTGATTCAGCCTTCCATCCTTCCAAGGATGGTAAAATGAGGACCCAGATTGTTGGGGGCAATATGCTGACTGCTTAGAGAGGGCGATAAAGCACTGTGAAGTGGTATATAAGTCTAAGTGCTATTGCTATTGTTTGTTCACCAAGTTTTCTTTCAACACCAGTGTTACCACTGGATGAGTAGGAGTTACCCATGAAAGAGCAGGTTTGCAAACCGGGGACCTTTAGGCTTATGGCTCCTGTTATAACAGTAGATAAAAGGTATGCTAAAGAGCGCTGCCCATCTGCAACAACTGCAGCTATGATCATTCTACTTGATGCAGAAGGACCTACTTATAAGTTCTCATTGTCATCTGGATTCACTATTATAATGTGTTTTACCCAGGCTTGCTCTTAAAAACTATTCAGAAATTTCTATTGACCAGAATGTGACACCCTACATATTTCCTCCTTTCTGGCAATGAGGACATACGACACCAATTTTGTGGGCTCTACAATGGTTACCATTACCTTTATAAATACAATATTACGTGCTGGTTCCTTAAAGCCCTTCAAGGCTTGGCACTGGGTATGTACAGGACTGCCTGCATCAAAATCAGCCTCACCAGATCTTGTAAGGAAGCACTGCTAGTTTTCCTGCACTTCTAGGAAGTGAAGGAAGCCCAGGTTAAGCAGTACTCCTTTTGTACAGCAGCACTGCTGTTTCAGAATGGTCTTGGCAATCAGATATACATTCTGATCACCCAATAGTAACCAGATCTCACTTCGCTTAGCCTTTTCAAGATTAACCAAGGTTGATGTTCAGAGTCTGTTTTCTGACTAGACACATGGTTATTTCAACTGAGTTTTATCTGTTTTAATTATCTTTAAATTATATTTTACTTGAGCATTTCTTCTAACACTTTGAAAGAAAAGAGAAAGAAACTAATAGATTTTAATTGAGTAGTATTATTAATATGTCACTATCTACTTGGAAAAGTGAATATTAAAAAAAAGCAATTTGGGATTCCTGTACATCATTCAAATCATATATAATACTTACAGGTTTGTCCTTCAACTCCTCCTAAAATTGCCAGTCTTGCCGACATTAATCCAAATCCCAAGTAACTAGACAAATTGAGAGAAGCAATTTTGATAAAGACTACATTTTTTTTGTTTAACAGTACTTTCTTTGTTTAACAGTAGAGCTAGTATATCTACTAGTGATTGACTTTAAACAACAGATACAGAATACACTGGGTTTTACAGCTGCTGAAATTATGAAACAATAAAAAAAAACCTGAAGTCACTTTATTGCAGACTATAAGACTATAAATACCACATGTAAAAGAAAGGATATTTTGAATATGGCAGTTCTATTGCTAATTTGCACCTTGAAGTTATTTTAATACTTTTAATGATAATTTTATGCTGATATGGTTATTTTCTTTTAAATTTCATTTCACAGACTGATATACACTTAATTTGCTTTTATACACCATACATTTTAAATAGTTAAGAGGTGAAATGCAGGCCTTTTAAAAATGAACCTCGCCACTTAATAATCAAGTTACTTCATGGTTCATCAAAAGCAAGATGAAATGTATTCATGAACAGTCGATATTGTAGTCGTTATAATAATTAAAAAGAATTATATTTGATGGAATTCTAAGATCAATGTTTAAGTAGCATTTTATTATAAAATGGCTATTTTTATAACTAGCCACCGTATGGTCATGTGATAAATTTAAAATGCCCATAATCTGTTTTATTCCCTAAAAGATTGTACTTGAAGGAAGGAAAAGGTACTTTTTAAAAGTATGTGAAGGATATTACAAATATTTAACACATCAATCTGATCGGTACCTTTCTCCAAATTTATATTTTGATATTCTAGTTCCTGGAACTTCTGGCTTATAGGTAATGGTCTGAAAAATCTGATCTATATAGTTGCCCAGCCCATCTAAATTGCTCAGACTTTTCAAGGAAACAGTGTCAGAAGTGTAGGCTATAAAATATCCTCTGGTTTTGTGTGTATGGGAGTCAAATGATTTATTGGCCTGTTGCTACTCTAGAATGTGTTTGAGGTAGATTCTTAGAGCCTTGTATATATTTAGTCTGTGCCAACTCCATTCTTGTAATAATCTAGACAAAAATCAGGCAGCACAATGTTTCTGATTAAATTTATAATTTTAATTTTGAAACGACCATATCTTAGATCCTGCGTAATTGAGAGCACCTCTATTTCTCCCCTAACGAAGTTTAGGACTATCAAAAAGAAACATACTGTTTGACCAAAGATGCCTAAATGTTTACATGCAACTATGTATTAGATATTTTTATAAATAATCAATTACTATGAACATTTAACAATCTTTAAAAAAGAAACAATTTACTGCACTATATGAAAAAGCTTTCTGACAACCAACCTGTGTGAATTCAGTTTATATGTAGTATTAAACAAGTTAAATGAAATGATGTGTTCAGCAGTTGAATTCTCTGCAGATGTCTGGAAAGAAAGAGAAAATACTTGATATTCCATGAAAAGAAAATAGAGCAATGTTGTTGGAGAGCTGCTAAAAAGCTATATTTCTTAAAATTATGTGTTACATCTTTATGCATCATGGTTAGATAACAAGTAGAAAGATCCAAGGTTGGATATTTCACTAAACAGACCAGAGGATGATCTTCCAGTTTATATGTTACGTTTCCCGATTAAACTAATAAGCTAGAATCTTACAGATACTTGTATCTATGAAAATTATGTGACTTATGTCACTTAACTATAGTGGCATCCTATAAGACAACTAAAATAAATTAATTGTAACCTACATTCATATCAACTCTGTCAGGGTTATGCAAAATACAGATAAGGAATAAGAAATAGGAAGTCAAATAAATTAAAGGCATAAAAGGAATTTGATTAAAATTATTTTTCATCATTCATTGTATCTCCCATATCTTTCAAACCATTCTTGCTTCCAATATGTCCATGTATTGTTTAATATGTTGCCATTTGTTCTTTAACCCTCTTTCTTCTTTCTTTTTGAAGCCTCATCAGCCATCCAAGCACAGCTTTCTATTTTCCCCTTCTTTGTGACTTGTTTAGCCCTCCTTCTGGTCCAACTTTCAACCTTTATATTCAAACCTTATTTGTGAGCTCCCATTCATTTTTTTCAATTAAATAAAATAGGCAGATGCATACTCTTATACAGAGCTATTTCCCCCAATAGACTATTATCACATTTTAAAAGGCATTAAAATCTCCTTCACAAAAGTATTCTGGGCGGCGCACAAATAAAATATTAAAACATAAAAACAGTATATAATATTTTAAAAGGGCAAGGAATTAAAAACCAGTATTAAGGCTAATTAAAAGGGGAGGGAAGGACTTTCAGGGCGCTAACCAGGCCCACTGTTGCTCCTCTGTCAGCCCCAAGCAAAGTTGCAGAACCATGTTCTTACCCTTTTCCAAAAGGCCAGGAGAGTGGGACCTGCCTTATCTGAGGGAAGAATGTTCCACAGGTCAGGGACAATGGCAGACAAAGCACTTTTCCTGGACCTTTCCAGTTGGAATTATTTAACTGACGAGGCCAATTATACACTTTTCCTGCTTGACTGGATGGGATGGGCCTATGTGGCCCCATGTCATGTAAGGCTTTCAGGGTCATAACCAAAAACTTGAATTGGACCTGGGAGCAAAATGGCACCCAATGCAGTTTGTGCAGTAAAAGGATGACATGGGCCCTTCTTTATGTTTACCCTCATAGCCACATACTGTATCAGCTGAAGTTCTGGATACTTTTCAAGGATATCCTGAAAAGACACTACCTAGTAGAAATGTTTGTCAGCCCTTGGTGGCCAGGAACTTCTAGGGATCAAAAGCAATGCTGCCAGAAAGGCATTAGAAATGGGCTGCCTGGCAGAATTTTTCCAGCTTTATACTTGCTATATACTGTGAATGAATGAATGAATGAAATTCTATAATACTACAATTTTTGTTAGCTCCTAAGATCTGCTGGCATACTTATAGAGCTGTATCAGACCTAGAACAACGTATTGGAAAGATTACTTGGATAATACCTAAACTATACAGTTTTGAATTTTAGGTAACATCCATAGCCATTTATATAGCCAGTATTAACTTTGCACAATTCTCTTCAATAATGGAAGTCATATATCTAAAAGCAATAGTTGCTGGCAAACTTCCTCCTCTTGAATAGAAAAACCTACTAGCATTAAATGTCAACAGTGGAGAGTTAATTAAATTCCTACTTCAATACAAGTTTTAAATCCACACAAAAGCTGACATGGTTTTATACCCCAAACCAAAATTGAAGCAAATCAACATAAACAAAAAAATGTAAAAATGTTTGGTGATCTCTTGAAAGAGTTGAAATAAAAGGGACTTGTATTCTTCTTACTTCAGTGCTTGGGCGAAATGTGATTTGAGTAGATCCACCACCTAAATCTAGCATTCCTACACATTTCTTCGTTGGATTATTCAAGCTGTCTGAAATGGATCATTTGATAAAGCAAAGTTAATGGAATGTTTATTTAAGAAATGTAATTATTTTACAAACAGTTCCAAGTAAAACACATGTACCTTGCCTATATTATCACACATATATAAATCAGACTTAAAATTTCAAATAACAAGGAACGTAAATACATGGAAATGTTTTAATTACTTGTATTTGATGAAATATATTTAAAGTAAGCATAGGTTTTAAATTCAAAGTATAACTGGAGTTTTATCCGAAGCAACTGTGGCTGCAGTTTTATGTCCTGGGAACTGCTACACTGAATTTAATAGTACTTACGTAAATCTTATAGTTTTATATAACAAATTACTTTAGAAAATAGCATATAGCAAACTACTACTATATACTTTGAACATTTAGAGAGAACATAAATTGTATTATATTGGGGTCCTAGTGGGAGTGAGCACTATGGAGGTGACTAATGATACTACCCCACCTCCCTGTACGCACTTTGTTCCCTCCCTCTCCATCTTGCTTAGCTTTATTTTAATTGAATTTTAAATTTATTATTCTTATTACTGTTTTAATGTTTTAAAATAGTACATTGTAACTGAAAGTTTGTAAGCCACTTAGAGTTGCCTCTGACAAGATGGGTGGGTGATTTATTAACTGACTAATTTAATAAATAACAATAATATAGAATATAAACGTAATACAACATACTTGCAAACATACCTGTTAAAAAGTTGACTGTGATCCATGCTGAAATACCTGGTTTAAAAAAATGCAATAAGTAGAAATCAGATTTCTATTTTCCAGTTCCTGTGATTTATTTATAAGATCAAATTTAAATTGGTTAAAATCATCAAAACAGGACGAGTGAGAAAGTGGCACAGGAGACAAATGCTTGTTACAACAATTAGGATAGAGGTATCTGACTAACACTAACTGGAGCTTAGGTTTCTACTATATCAGAAAAAAATGAGATGAATCTTTAGAGGAAAGACATATAGAAAATGACATTTCAGTGTGCTATTTGAAAGCTAAAAGATCTTAGTTAACTTGGAGCAATGCATGACATATGCTTTTTTTCCTTTACATATTTGTATATGGAAATGGTCATTATGAACTTGTTAGGGATAACATTAGTTACCTAACTTAGTTTGGCTAAATATAATATATGTTAGTTAGTTTAAATGTGTGTGTCACTTTAAACTGTAAGCCAAGTATTTTGGGTGCGGTTGTAAATCGCCATAAGAGGGAGCAAGAGAGCTCACTGTTCGCGGGCTTTTACTGAAATGCTGACAGAGAAGGATTGATGGTGATTACTGTGTACGTTTGCTGAGAGAAGAAAAGAAGGTTTGATTTTGCTTCATATCTCTGACTGCAAAAGAGATACATCATTGGACTGATTGTTTGTGAGTTGAACGACCTATTTTCTACACTGGACTTTTGCAAACTGAATAACCCTAGGACTGTCTGAACTTAGTGTATGACATATGGACTGCTTTGACTATGCTATAACTCTTGCTGGAATAAAAACTATTTAATTGCACAGTGTATCTGTCTTACTGAGTGTAAAGCTACAACAACGCTTTATCTCACACACACTCTCTGTCTGCTTGACTGCCGTTGCACGTTCTGCTAGGGTGTTGTATCCCTAACAGAACTGATTCAAAGTGTCTGCTAAAATATAGTATAGAAAATTGTATAGTATAGAAAATTCTTCTTCCTAGATGGCTACACAGTGTTCTATGTTAATATGGTGCGTAGCCTACAATTTATAATAAAAAATTAAATACAGTACAAACTGAAAAACTTATCTACAGAATTTTGTCTCAATTGTACTTCCAGTCTCAGAACATGTAAAGTCTAAAAGCAAGTAATAGCTAAATAAAAGTACAAACAATACATTTCATTAACTAAATTGCTCACTTACTTTAACATGAGCCTGCCCTCATTGTGTGGAAGATAGATACTTGCAATTCTACCTGGAACTGAATACTATTAACTAAACTAGCTTCATTTTCTTTCTGAATGAAGAAATTATTTTTTCTCAGTAAAAGAGATTAGGGCACTCCTGTAGGTGCCAGACTGTGGCTAACATTGGAACCAAGTGCCTTGCCCAGGGGTCTTCAAACTTGACAGCTTTAAGACTTGTGGATTTCAACTCCCAGAATTTCTCTTCGTCATGTTAGCTCAGGAATTCTGGGAGTTGAAGTCCACAAGTCTTAAACTTGCCAAGTTTGAAGACCCTTGGCCCAGCCACTGCTCCTACAAATGGCAGAATTCCTCAGAAGCCAAGTACAAACTGCCATAAATGCAAATAGCATTTCCTATTTATTAGTACAGTAGGACAGCCAGTCCAACTTCTCAATTTGTTTCCTGAAGTCTCTTAGCTGTCAGTATAAGGAAGGGAAGAAAAAAAACCTAATCCTTTCCCTTCTCTCTCTCCTTCGCAGCTTCAAAATCTTCTTTGGGGACAATGTTGTTAAGTTTAAATTCCAGGGTACCTTATTTGTTGCTTTTGCTGTTTGACCCAGTCAACCAAAACTTTCTCTTCTTATCTTCCTCCTGCACATTCTTTTCCGGTCAAGTTCTTCTTTGTGGTGGCCAGTTCTGCTACAACCGCCTTCGGGAAAGGGAGTAGTGGCCAGCTGGGGAGGAGAGGTGCGGCTCTCCTCAACCCTGCAGGCAGTCTCCCCCCTCTTCACCACCTCTACGAGGTGGCTTAGCCCCGAAACCAGCCGGCTCGGGGCGCTCCAGCGGCGAGCACGGATCGAAGCCTCGGAGAGACGAGGTTTCGGTCTGTCACCGAAGAAGCTCAAACCGGAAGTCCCTGAGCTTGTTTTCTTGCAGATATTTCATTACCTAAACTAGGTAACCTGATGATGTACCTAGCTTGTATAATGAATCATTTGCAAGAAAACAACCCAGCTCAGATAGTACTAAGGACCCTTCAACTCTGAGCTACAAATATTCTTCTCTATCAGCTTAGACGTCAACTAGATATTCTCTAATAAAATTTCAGTGAATGCATAGTACCTGACAACTGAGAATTCTGCATAGACAACAGGCTAATGTCTTTTTTTGTTTCAACTGGCTGAAGATATAATAGGAGCCATTTTGATTTCTCTATAAAAGGATAGGAAATTATAGCATAGCTTTTAGTTTCATTATGGATTACAAAGCCACTAGTTCTGTGTTTCATGATTTTTTTTTAAACTAAAATAAAAAAGTAACATTCTACAAAATTATATTTGGAGCAGTTTAATTCAACCTAACTGTTGCAAAACATGTAGTTTGAATACTTTCTTTGTTCGATATATGTGAAACAGAATTTTCACATTATGATATCATGAAAAGTGTGAAATGCTGCACCATACACAAAGATTAGTAGTTCTTCTAATTTTAACTTGATTTATGATCAGCAAAAGAAAAATACTCCTCCCAGTAAAGATTTTGGGCAAAAAATGGGCACTCAGCCATAGCACTCTTTTTAATGACTGAAATTCATTTTTATGATTCATTTTCAATAAATCCTAACCAAAGTTTCAACTAAACTCAAAATTATCGTGTGTGTGTGTAAAAACCTCCTTTCCCACAAGTAACATGCGTATGTTACATTAATATATTAAAGACTCCCAAATATTCCATGGCCAAATAAATTTGGGAAACAGTAATTTAGCTTAATAGAACAGGAATAGATGTTCTTTGTATTACTCCACAGATATTTGCAAGCAGTTAAAATATTGTAGGGCAGCCAGTTTGATCAAGTGATTAAGGCATCAGGTTAGAAAATGGAAGACTATGATTTCTAGTCCCACTTTAGTCACAATGGATGGATGACCTCAGACACTTTCCCTTAGCCTTAAGATGGAAGAAATGGCAAACCACTTTGAAAACCTTGCCAAGACAATTGCAGGGACTTGTCCAGCCAGTTCCTGAGAATCAAACATGATTGAACAAAAGGGAAAAACATTGCAGAGATATTAAACAAACAGTTGTGTTTGCCCTTAGTTTCACAGAAATTCTGTCTGCACGGGAAGATTATTTTAGAATCAAAAGCAAACATACTATGAAATCACTGAAACATAAATTCAACTACCTTCATCTGATCCATCCATTATGGAGACACAATCATTTCCTATAAAGAATGGAGACTCTTGAAAAATGTCCTTTACCTAAAATTAAAGGAAGATTCATACAAATACATTTAAAACTCAAGAAACGCAATAATTCAGAAAAGATTATATTTCTCTGCAATTGTATATATGGTGTCATTCTTCTTATTGAACAATTTACTGTCTTATTAAACTACCTCCTGCCTAATGAGACAGTCCTTGACTTACAAAAACAATTGGGAGATGGAACTTTGATTGCTAAACACAGCAGTCAATAAGTGAGTCATGCCCAATTTTATGACCTTTTTACCACTGTTATTAAGTGAATCACCACTGTTCTTAAATGAATCTTGCAGATGTTAAATGAATCCAGCTTCCCCCACTGACTTTGCTTTTTGGAAACTAACTGTGAAGGTCACAAATGGAGATCACATGACCTTGGAATGCATCGAAATACATGCCGGTTGCCAAGAGTCCAAATTTTTATTACATGACTGGGAATGCTGCAATGGTCATTAAGTGTGAAAATTGGTCATAAATCACTTTTTGCAGTTTGAACGGTTACTAAAGAAATGGTTGTAAGCCAAGGACTATCTGTACCATTGTCTCCTAACAGCTGGTCATTCTCAGGAATTGAGAATTGATGTACCATCTGAATGTGATGGAAAACCATAAATAAAATGCACAGTAATCCTGTGCAGTAATCAGGAGCCAAAATGGAGCAAGAAGCACCCCCAAAATTAAAAGCATTTAGGGAGAATGAACCCCATCCAGATCACATTATGTATGCATTCCAGGTGCAAACTTTTTCCAGATGTGTTATCTATATTAAGCTTTTTGATATATCTGTTCAAATCATCCACTGCTTCATTGGAAGATTTAAAAGAAATCAATATAATACTGATGACACCCATCTTTATAACTCTGAATGACAAACTGTAATGCAGCCCCCTATTAATACTCTAGTATTAATCAATAAGCCTGAATTGTAATCATTATCTACTAGACTAGAATACATAGTGCAGAAGACTTAAAGAGATTCCTGCCCTGATACCAAACTAATTTAGATTAATCAAGATAATAAGAATAGAGAACAAAATACCTTATCCAATAATTTCTGTGCCTTTTCTCCTGGCAGCAATCTTAAGCCAGCAGTGGCTTTAAGAACTAAGGGAGTTGACGTCCACAAATGCATAGGAACAGCTTCTTTAGCAACTGCCAATAGCTCATTTATTCCTTCAGCACTCTGACAAAAAAAAATGTGTTGTCTTTTTATTTAAGCAGGGTTTTGTGTGGGGATGCACGCATGCATGTTTTCTTATTTTGGTTTCTAGCCTGGTACCTTAAACCACTAAAACAGACAGGCTCTCATTCAAGCAGTTAAAAAACAAGTAACTATAAATGGGGATGATGCAGGATATTTATTTTTAAGATTTTGAGGCTGCCTAACTTCTTGATATATATAAAACACAGCATTTTTCTGTGTTTCTGTGGAACAGCATTCCCCAAGATCTAGATGAAGATTTTCAGGACCTGACTTTCCCCCTCTAAGCTCTAAGTCAGGAGATTTTGTGCCTATCCTGAATACTTTTGCTAGATGAAGATGTCTCACATGCAATGTGTTTTATTGTTTAGACATGCTAGTACTACATGAAAAGCCAGGAAAATTCAGGTTTCAGACAGATCTTACCTCGATATGACATAAAAACAACTCCAGGTGGAGTCAAGAGCTGAAAGGAAGGAGGCCCCCAATAGGGAGAATTAAGAAACATGGTAGCTTGGACTCCATAGCAGGTGAGAAAGCATATGAGATCAAACACTATATCAGGCTTTCTCAGGGGAAGGCAGGCAGTCTGTCAACTCAGTAATAAAGAAACCTCTTGACTGAAACCTCGGAACAGTTCTGGTTGCTTGTGCCTGATATCTATGGTCCTAACTTTGGCACAAGGTATGCCTACCTAGATACCTTTTAAAAATGGAGACAGAATAAATGTTTTAAATCTTACCTAACAAATAGCACAGATATATATTTCTTCAACAACTATACACCTGTAATACAACAATATGCATGTTTCTTCAGAAGAAATTGCTATTATTATAATTTTTATAATTTATGTCAATATTTATAATAATTTTTATAAGTTAACAATAATTAACAATTATTACCAGGCAAGCATGACCTAAATTATCTTATTTAAGTTCAAATTACCTTATCCACATTGTCAGCATATGCAGAGAGTCCTGGTTTTAATGCTTTGAATGTGGTATCAATTAATCTTGGAAGTTCTGTTTTTTAAAAAAGGAAAATTAACTCAATGTAGTAACTTCTATACATAATTTTGCAGTCCGCAAATCAAAGACACCAAAAATTAAGTTAATTAATCAAGAAATTAATGTGAAATCCTTCTTCATAAGGGGGACTAACTGCAGAAAAGAAACCCAGCAGAAGTATCCCCTTTCCTTCTGTCTTACGGGAATACCGTAGTTCTTCATTGTATGACACTATTTATGTGATTCCTAAAAAAAATACATATTTCTTATGTACTGCCTTCAACAATTTGTAACCTGAAGGATTACTATATTTACATTCTCATGAAAATTATAATTAGACCATGTTCTTTGCATCTATTGCTCTACCTTCAAAATAGATCTCAAAAAACCCACCACCCTTCAATATATAAATATGCCATAGCTTTTATAAACAATATTAAAATATTTGAGCCACCAGGGAGCAGCAAATTCCGACATGAGTAAACAATAAAAGAAAATAGTAGGAAAACAGCACAGGTAGTTCTCATTTAGTAAACAGAATTGGAAAAAAACTTCATTGTTAAACACTGCAGTCACTAAGCAAAACATCACGACTATGACAGGCTTATGATCTCACTTCCCCTTCAGTCATTAAGCAAATCACTAGTTATTAAGCAAAATATCACATGATCGTGACTTACAATTTTACTTCCACCTTCTCTATTAATCGCTTCCACACAAATGGTGATCACACGATCATGGTAGACTGTGATATTTGATTGCATACCAATTTTGAAGTGCTCAAATGGCAATCATGTGACAAGTTCAGGCTGCATGTAAGTTGGGTGTGTGGCAGTCAAGGGAAAGACCATGTTGTACAGTGTGCAGGAAGGCTGGAGGGAACTGACCAGAGTGATTTATGACCTTCCCTGTTGTCTTCCCCATTGCTTTGCTTGTGGGAAGCAGGCAGAGGTTGCAAATGGCAATCACATGACCACGGGACACTGCAATCATCCTGAGTGCAAGCTGGTTGCTAGTTTCCCAAATCATGATATGATCATGGGGACACTGTGATGGCCAGAATTTTGAAGACAAGATGTAAGTACCTCTCATTCAGCACTGCGGTAATTTTCCAGAGTTACTGAACAAGTGGTTGTTAGCAAAATTATGAACTGAAGGGGTTACCTTTTGGTTTCTGTGCAAAATGGAATACATGTATACGGGTGCCAGTGCTTCCAGCATCAAACATAATTCCATAAAGAACTGCCTCATCTTTTCTTGAGATCTCAGCACCAAGCTGCTTTTCCAAACCTTTGTCAACACCTTTTCCTTTGTAATCAAAATTCCACTTGGTATACACAGCATATATAGCAGCACATGTGAAAATTGAAAATATGCAGAATGGTTTTGGGATCTTCATGATCTCCATTAGACTTTTTCTTTCACTTTTTTGAGCAGTTGCTTATGATTTCCTGCAATATAAAAATAAAATTGTTTTATAAAGAAGTATGAAATTTTATTTGAGAAAAATGGAGTCATCGTGCAAAATATACTAGAAAGGCTACTTAGATGCAGTACAACATTAATATATCATATCAATGATGTGGTAATGTGTTTTAGTTTGTAATTTTTCCCTTGAGGACTTTTATATGATGATATTCCTAAAAATATACAATGTAATAAAAAATCTATAAGAACTATCGTTAAAAGCTTGTTACTCCAGAAAAACTATAGAAAATACTGCTGGAAGTTTTAAGCCAGATTTCACAATTCTATTGATACTATTACTGTAATAATACTTTTTTTTTGGCATGAGGAAAATTCTGTGGTAAAATAATAAAATAAGATTATTGAGATAAATACTGACCTAACATTTTGAATTCACTGATTTTTGACAAGGAGTAAAGTACTTCTACCAAAACAAACACTGATATATTGTTAAACTAATGAAATTACATTATTATAGATATATATAAAAACTAAGATATGAGTCTTGCAGAAATTTTCCTCACTTGTCAAAATTAGAGTGTTCTAGAATTTATTTCTTTTAAAAATGTATTATATTCCAAAGAATTATATAATATTCAACTGGACTAATATTCTATATTTGTAATTTTCCTTGTACTTTAGCCAGGTCTCTTATTAAAGCAACAGCAATAATATATTCAAAGGAAAAAAATTTGTATTTTTTAAAGTAAACAAGTTCCTAATTCAGATAAGTTCCTCATAGAAAATTATTGTATGGTGAGTATGGTATAATAATCATTTCCTCCTATTTATATGAACTCTGATTTCAGTTAATCTGAATCATAGTAAACTGAACTTTCTATTATGTATAAGCACATATATTCAACTGTTATGCGTCAGCAAATACAAAATACTGATGGCTGAATTAAAGAATTTCAAGTAAGAATTTCACCTGGTACTTTGACACTTCCCCAGTTTTTCTCAATGAAACTATACATACAGAAAATATTATTTTTTTTTTAGAACATGGTGAATATAGTATTTTATTCAAAATTGCAGGCTACTTGAATACTTTCTAAGACAGAAACTGGAAAAGTACTCTTTAAAATATTAGTGTACATCAACGGGGAAAATATTTCTACCTGTGTGATTTAGTTCAATTTATTTATTTTTGAATTCTCAGGTTCACCAACCAAAGCCAGCTAAGGAATAGGTAAGTCAAGAGAAAAGGTGCATGCTCTTAGATTTAATAAACAAGTACAGTATGCCTCTGAGCACATGGACAATCCTGAATTATTTTTTATAACTGAACTTTCAGTGTTAGTTGCTTTTCTCCCAAGAGCATTTCAGCTTTAGTAACCTAGTTTAAAAAGAGGGTGGGGAAATTTTTGGTATTGATTATGGCTATTGATATTTTGATCTAAAAATATTTTCAGATATATTATAGACCACCTAGACATTTACTGAAACCTCTTAACCAACCAACTTTCTGCCTTTAACTTCCTATTCCTTAGATAAACTCTACGCTTGTATAAAGGAATAAGGGTTCCTTACAAAGAAATCATTATGCAAACAGACTCCTTAATCCTTCACACAAGTTTCCACTAAAAGTGTTTTTTTTTTTTGCTTCTGTAAACTGAATGTTATTTAAGTTTCTTTTTTTCAAAAGTAATATATATGCTTAATAATTAGTTGGGAGATGCTGGCTTAATACAAGTATTCTTCCACATTATTTAGGGGGAAACAATTCAAATTCATTTATAATTTCAGGGACTCATGGTACCTCAAATATTAATAAACACTTCCTTAATTGCTAACAATCATTATTTGCTCCATAATTAATATTTACATTCTAAGGGAGCAAGAATTTTGTATTGTGGAAATAAATAACCCAGTAATTAATGACCAGCCCTGCTTGCTCAAGGAACATTGTAGGCTTAGGGGTATCTAAAGAACCACGATAGTAAAGAGCAACAGTTAGGATTATTAGTTTACAAAAGAAGTGGGATTCTCACAGTTATTTAGTATAGGAGCTGGAAAAAAAGTAAAGTAGCAATATTATGAGGAAGTTATTAAAATATTTTTAATTATCCCATTTAATATTCTCTCTTTCATACTTACACTATGCACAACCTAGGCATGTAAAATGTACATGTTCATAGATACAATGGTAGAGGATTCTTTCTGTCTTTAAATGTTAAAATACGGCAAATGTTCAGCTATATTTTAGCTTTCAAATTGGAATACACCATTTTTATATTAATCACTAAAATACTTTCACAATCCCAAATGATTAATTTTCCATATAAAAAGAGAATGAAATAAGGACAGTTTCACACCCAACAGTTATACTTTGATAAACTAATTTTCAGAGAATTATCACCCAGTAGAAAATGCAACAAGTATATGTTTATAAATACGAGGGAGAGGTGCATAAGAACAATGCTATTTTTGAAATTGTTCTGCAGTAAGTATACAGACAAAACAGTATTTTACCATTAGAATGATAAAGAACAAAGAAGACATTGCTGAATTATAGTGTTAAATGTTAAAAGGTATAAGGTAACTTATTTATTTATAAAAATTATTGGCTGTAATAATATTATTACCACAGTAACTCTGGGCAACTTACAATCTGGTAACCAGTTGAAGAGACTCTGCCTTTTTCAAATTATATAAGAACATTTCAGCAAATATAGCAATACTTCTCTTTCCTTTTCCTACCCACACAAAATAAATGGCACTTTGAAAATGTTCTTCGCTTCAGTCAAACTGTAGCCTTTTGCATCTGGCCACCTGGAAGGAATGAAAAATACCTTAGTTCATACAATACATAAACGAATAATTTAGGAGGGCTTAGTTCACAATTAACCCTAAATTATATGACCTGAACTATGGTTTGATTTACCCAATGCATTAAGCAAAAACCAAATCAACCCATATATGAGAACCCAGCTAAATATTGAACTGTATTAGTTAGCTTCCCCTGTAAATTATTCTCCACCATGTAGTCGTCGTCATCATCATCGTCTTATAAATAGCAACTGCTTTTCTAGGCAGGTTTACTTTCAAAAAGCCTCCCTAAATCCCTCCAGACGAAACAAGATCACAACCCGGAAGCTGGCTGGGACTCCCACGTCTTACCCTTGCCATGAACTGGCTCAGCCGCGGTTTATTGGGCCGTTTACCAAACTACTTAAAGAGAAACGCTGAGCCCAAAAGCCGCGCTTAGAAGTCACAGACACAAAGCGGCTGCCTCCTTTTTCCGTCAGTAAAGCGCGGTTTTACTGTAACGTCCCTTCCCTTCGCCTGCCCCCATTTCTCATTGCTTGAGCCGGCGGGAATCCGACCGAAGACGTCGGGCGGTTCTTTCCCTCACCTCCGCTCGTGGCGCGTTAGGCAGCCAAGGAACCGCATGCTGGAAACAGGCGAGCTCGTCGTTGCCCAACCCGCTTTCTTCTCAACTTCGCCGAATCCGAGCGCTCCTTTTCCCCATTTCAAGAGAAGAGCTATCGGCGGGTCCGCCCTGGTTGTGAAACCTACGCATGCGCAAAACGGACCCGCCGGTTTCTACGGCAGGCCCTAGCACCGCAGTTTCAAGGAGCGTGTAAGCGAATTTCAAGGCGGACTTCCCTGTGGGACAAAGATAGGAGGGTAGGGAAAATCCAACTTGGAGGACAGCCTGATGGTTTTATTGGGAGGGAAAATGGAGCTCTCGTTCCTTTTTTTTGCATGGCAAAAAGTGTTTACCCGCTAGTGGGTTTTATGCCATCTGTCAGAATAGTTTATAATTCTTTATTGGCCAAGTGTGATTGGACACAAAAAGAATTTGTCTTCAGTGCATAACCTCTCAGTGTACATAAAAATATAAGTGATAAGAAATGGTGCTTTTTTGGGGGGAGGGTTGGGCTAGTTGACCTACAAGATCCCTTCCAATTCTGGTGTTCTGTATCTTGTATGTATCAATCTGTTGTGTCCACTTCTGCTGTCCCAAGCTTTTTGATTAAGCATGCATCATCAAGTCATTTTTTGACTGCACAGATAGATTTTCTTCATGACAATCTCTCCCTAATGTACTGTTTGAACACCGGAGGCTTTCAAGAAAAAACATGGCAGCTATTTGTCTGAAATGGTTTCCTGCTTGAGCAGGGGCTGGATTTGATGACCTCCAAGGCCTCTTCCAGCTGTGTTATTGTGTCTTCCAATGGTGCACTCATGGCCACTGTAACTGGGTCCATTCACCTCGCTGCTGGTCATCCTCTTTCCTCCTACTTTCCCAGCTTCCACCTTCTCTAAAGAACTAACTCTTCATGTAATGTGTCCAAAGTAGGATAATTTGAACCTGCTCATTTGTGCATTGAGTGAAAACTCTGGGTTGATTTGTTCAATGATCCAGTAGTTTACTTTCTTAGCTGTCTACAATATTGTCAGGAGTCTTCTTCAACACCAAATTTCAAAAGCATCAATATTCTTTCTCTCCTGCTTCTTTAAATTCCAATTTTTGTTTCCATAGAATGTCACATTCAATGGTAGGCAATTCCCTCTGCATTACCAGCTCCTCAGAATTGGTCCACTTGAGATTTATTTGCCATGTTGACCAAGGATAATAATCCTACATACCTGGAAATATCAAGTTTGGGAAAGCTATGTTAATAAGCAAATATTGCATTTCATAGGATCAGAATCAAAATTATGGTTTGATGTGGGTTTAAGATCCATATGGTGCCACTTGTTTATGTGTCATACCCAGCCCAAGGAAATGGAAATGACAGATTCTGAATTTGTGCTTGAATTCCTCCCCATGAAGGTATGTGCCCATTACACTTCTTAACAAATGGTCATCTGCTCAACCATTGGCTCTTGCTTAGGCCAGGCTCTCTGGAAGCTAATTAAATTCAGATATTGAGTAGGTCAACTGCAATAATACATGTCATTCATTAAATTGGTGAAATAATGATGAAATGATCTTTGAGGTCAAGAAATTTTGGGAGCTTTCAAGCAAATTAAACTAGGCAAGGAAACCAAATATGGCTCTTTATCAAAATTAAACTGGATTTCAAACTTTCAAACTTCAAGAAATTGGGAACATATAAAAAACTTACCACAAGGTCCTTAAAAACATATATTGGGCAGCTTTAGGAACATTTTTAATAATTTTTAATTCAGAATGTGGTTATTACCATTATGTTTTGTAAAATTTTCAGTATTTGTGGTACTGCACCAAACAAACAGTCATAGTTTGAAAAAAGATGCTTAATATATTGAACTAAACTATGAAGTCACTGTCTAAGTTTTTGAGGAATGGTGGCAAATGGAAGGCTTAATGTTTTAGATCAGGGGTGTCAAACTCAAGGCCCAGGGGCCAGATCCAGACTGCGGGGTGCTTAGATGTGGCCCGCGGAGCTGCCCTGGAAACAGCAAAGGACCAGCCAGCAGTGTCTCTGCCAGCAAAAACAGAGCTCAGGAGGGCTGCGGGCGGTTCTCCTGAGCTCCATTTTCTCTGGCAGAGGGTTACAGGAGGCCATCACAGCCAAAAACAGAGCTCAGGAGCCCGTTTTCACTGGCAGAACGCTCGGGCCACCACAGGCGTCCCCAACACGAGTGACATAGAGCTGGCCACACCCACCCTTGCCATGCACACCCTGGCCCCCTGAGGTCAAACACAACCCTGATAAGTTCCTCAATGAAATCGAGTTTGACACCCCTGTTTTAGATCAAATGTGTGTGGAAGATCTTTTTCAACTTCTATTTACTTCGATAATATTTTATGGCTGGCTTATTGAACAGTCTGGACTCTGTTTATATTTGATGTTTTGCTAACATCACTGCTGGAAAATATATATAATAGTATTTCTTTGTCAGAGTGCCTTTTCCTCTGCAGGTGACAATGTACATATACTTCTTCACAATCCCTTTATACTACCTAGCACAAGAATCTAATAATGTCTTATTTATTCAAACCTCATGGAAGTTCAGAAAAGGAAAATGTTTTCTTCCTCTTAGCTGATCAATCGTTGGCCATTACCAGATGGGTCATGAAATTTTATTCAATCGCTCTCACCAACCTTAGTCTAAAATTGTAATATTTATTGCTTAATAAACAATTTATATTGCAGGTAGTCCTCAATTTATGATTACAAAGTATCTTCTTAACTCCCCTCCTTTTATTGGGATGATGATGATGATTCTGTTGCTTTGCATGTACATTGAGTGCTTCTGCACTGGAGACAAATTCCTTGTGTGTTGAATCACACTTGGCCAAATAAAGTTCAGTTCAGTTCAATTCAATTGAGTCCAAAATTTCTGTTGCTAAGCGAGATAGTTGTTAAGTGAATTTTGTCCCATTTATGACCTTTCTTGCCACAGTTGTTAATCATTGCAGTTGTTGAGTTAGTAACACAGTGACACGGTTAAGTGAATCTGGCCTCCCCATTGACTTTGCTTGGTGATCACATGACCCTGAGACACTGCAACTGTCAGTTGCCAAGCATCTGAGTATTGATCACATGACCATCAGGATGCTGCAATGGTTGTAAGCATAAAAAACAGTCATAAGTCACTTTTTTCAATGCCATTGAACTGTTGTAAATAAGAACTACATGTACTCTATTACAGTATTCAGATTTTGTACTGGTGTGTGTCTTTTGAATGTTGTTAATAAATAACAATATAATCTGTGCTTTTAACTATAAAATTAAAACATTTTAGTGGCCTATTAAAATCTAACAAATCTATAATAATCTTGTATTCTACAATCCATCTCAACAACTGCATGTAGAATTATCTTGACAATTGAATAAGTAGTCATAGTTTGAGGAGGAAAACTAATTGCAGCAAATAATTAAATACTGCATGATCAGCTAGCAAAGTTAGCCTACCATGTTATAAAAATGTAACCTTTATATTTATTTTGTTTGTGGTTCAATCCCGAAAACTGGGTTAACTATAAGCCTTGTTGGCAAAATCAATCACAGAGGACCATTTACCCTTTTTACAGATGTAATTCACACACATACATCACTAATAGGATTGCAACTGGGTGCTAAGAAAAATTGGACTCTAGCTTATGCAAACATAGCAACTGCTTATTTCAAGGCATTGTACAGGTAGTCCTTGGGTTAGAATTACTTACCCACATTTAGCAACTGTTCAAAGTTACAATGGTGAGGACTGGTCCTTGGAGTTTCAGCCACCGCAATGTCACCAGGGTCATGTGATCGTGATTTTGGCCCTTGGCAACTGCTTGCAGTTACGAATGGCTGCAGTATCCTGCAATCACAAATTAGTGGTGGTATTCAGCAGAACCAGGGGTGGTATTCTGGAGAACTGGTAGCAGAAATTTTGAGTAGTTTGGAGAACTGGCAAATACCACCTCTGACTGGAGATTTTACAGTATCCTTCCTCTGCCACACCCGCCAAGCCATACTACCCACAGAATGGGTAGTAAAAAAAATTGAACTCCACCACTGTCACAAATTATAGTGTCAGGATTCCAGCAGTTACTCTAATTAAATCATGAGCCTCGAGCCACACTCCCAAAACTAAAAAAGATTTATTTGAAGTTAACATTCTACATCCGGCATTTACCTGGGTGTAGCCAACTCTGAGATACGTAATTCACTGTCACCTTTTATCCTGCTTCCCTCCGCCCCAGGTGTATCATTCAACGAAAAATGTCCATAGCCAAGAGTCAGCAATCATGCTCTCCAATTAGATTTTTTCATGGCAGAAGCTTCAGTCATCTAATCAGTCTTTGAAAAAAATATGAATGGAATGTATTTTCGATTCCACACTGCTGTCTGTTCTTTGAAACTCCCCCTTTCTTTCTGTTGTCAACTATATCCAAAAGGAAGTATGTAGAATACTCTATTACATGATATAACATCAGATTGCATTTTGATTGCCACATCACCAACAATTGGCTAAATCCATCAAGACCTTATCTTGTTAACAAGTCATGTAAGGTTACAAAGTAGCCAGTAGATAAATAGTGATAAATATTATTTCAAATCTACACAAATATGGCATACAGTTACAAAAATGGCTTTTTAAAATATATATAAATCTTTTAATTCTATATTCAATTCCTCTCTAAACACTTGGACTTCTAATTTAGTATACCGATAATATTAAGAATACTTTATAGGCTTTTTATTTTATAAAGAATATCTTAAATAATCTAATACAGTGGTCACCAACCAGTGGGCCAGGGACCACTGGTGGTTCATGAGAAAAATTTGGTGGTCTGCAGAGAAATGTCACCCCCAAAGCACACCCCCAAAGCAATTAATCCAGGATGCACGGGAACACAAGGCTGCTCCGCCCACATGGCCAGCGGGAATACAAGGCTTGTGTCGCTTGCCATTGCGAACAACATGAGGTAGTGAGGGGAGGGGGGAAAGGGTGTAGGGGGGAACTTGCCCCACTCACCCCATGCGCCTGGCCTGGCCACCGGGCTGCTTCTTTCAGCTTCTTTCTATTTCTGCTTTTGGCTGCACGCAAGGAAAGCAGCAAAAGTCTTTCTCTTCCTCAAACTCCGCCAGAAATGAATCTTTGGGACTCTGCAAGGCATCCTGCTCCAAGAGGCTGCGCCAGTGCAACAGGTCTCACAAAGACTCATTTCTTGTGGAGTTTGGGGGAGAGAAAGAAAGACTTCTGCTGCTTTCCTTGCATGAAGCCAAAAGTCTCTTCTCTCTCTTTCTCTCTCCCTGAGAACAGAGCTGGACGGTATCCTGCGACCTCAAATAATGATCAATCGGAAGGAAATCGGGGTGGGGAATTTTCCTGCAGACTTTTTTGGGGATTTTCCCAGGGTCTCTGCTGCTTTCTGCAGAGACCCTGGGAAACCTTCAGCAAGCCACCGTCAGTCAAAATTCATATTAGTGGTCCGCGGGATTTAAAATTATGAGTTTGGTGGTCCCTGAGGTCCAATAGGTTGGCGACCCCTGATCTAATATACCATCATAGAACTGCTTTATGTTTTATGCATTGGGAAGGTTGAATTAATCATTCTGACCAATAGAGGGCTGTGTTTGATTACATAAACTCTCATGTTGCTTAATAAACATGAAAGAATAATTTTTTTTGTGTGTGTGTGTATTACTTACTGTAAGAGCTCAGTTTCCTAGCCTTAAGGTTGCTCTATTTCTGCCAAAGTTTGCAAAAAAAAAATGGTATCAAAGTAAAAAAATAATCTTATATTTTAGGTGTTACTCAAACAAAACCTTCTAATATTTAGCTGGACTTTGTCTGTTAAACACATTTTTAACACATTTTAATGGTGTTTCCAATTAAGATTTCAATTAATCAATGGACGGAATTACACATTCAGCCGCAGCTTCTTCAATTTGTTGTCCAACAAGCAAATCTGTTGATTGTGGGGGGGGGGGGGGGCTTTATTTTAGAAGGATGGATTTGCTGTATTGTTTATTAAGCATTTCCTAGCTTTGATCAAGAGTAGCTCTTGATCAGATCAGACTGATAAAAGTCGCAACTAAGTAGTGTGATATCTACAGTATGCCCATCAGTGTCCTCATAGCAACATGCCTGGATATTATCTGGCTGGCTGTCACTCATTTACGATATAATATCAAGTGAAGCACAAGCCTCATTCTCACCCCACCGCCAATATTTTTGAGCTCAAAGGGCATGATATGCATTCTTACAAGCTAACAAGCTAAAAATGTGAATAGTTGTATAGTTACCCTCTAGAAAATAAAGACAAAGGTGGCTACGGAGATTGGGCTTCTATGAAATAAATACATTTCATGACTAGTTTTTGGCACCATTTTTGCGAATAAGTGTCCC